GGTGCTCAAATTAGAGCTGACCAATCACGGACAGCGTATTAGCAGCCTTCAGGGTGATCAACTTCACACCAGGTCCAGGACAATGATGACGTGTGTGTCCACTGCTTAGTCAGTGATCCACTTCTAATCTCCCCCCCCCCCTCCCCGACTTCAAAGGACAACCCCTATATTCCGAGCTCTCTGAGAGGGGAAAAAAAGAAAGTTGGGGGGGGTGGGGCGCTTGTGCGTAATGAAGAATCTAGTATTTCATTCTTTTTTGTGAACATGCTTAGTTTGAAAATTTCGTTTAGCATACTAACTTATAGGTGGCTAAAAATCTGGCATAGCGTAAAAAGAAAAATACAAACAAATGGGGGCTGTGTCACTTTGGTTGGGGGATGTTAAAAGACTCTTTAGAAGCAAAATGAAAAGAAAAGATGCGATTTAAACGATTTATAATCCAGAATTAGTTAATAGTTAACTATAACTGCCTGTATTAAATTATTAAAGAATACACGTAAGTTTACATGATAAAAAATGTTAAAATACGAAATGCGCTAAGAAATAATATACGCACCTGAACTGCACTTTTACCAGAATTTTATACTACTGGAACTTGAATAAAACTAATGTTAGGGCTAATAATAGTGCTAAGAAGTATCACAGTATGCGTGAGTTGAGTATGAATGAAAAAAGTGGCTTACCAAATAAAAAAGTAAACAAACCTTGGATGATATTATTATGATGATAATTTACAGAATTCTCGGTATCAGACACATCTGAAGTGCTATCTTCATCAAAAATATTCTTCTAAGTAAGAATAGTCGTCCATTTCAACTAGTAAAATAAACGATTTTTCTTTCTTGCCAAATAGAAATTTAACATTCCAAAATAGTAAATCTTTATTTTCGCCTTTTAATATTATTTTTATATATATTTTAGGGGTCGTTCTTTTCACCCGCCATATATGACCGATTTTTCAATCTCCCGTCTTTTGAGAGTTAACGCGAATAACAAGATAACACTAATAATTAGTATAAAAGTAACAATATTTAGCTCATTAACTTTTACTGAGCAGTCGTTCATCCTATTTTCAACTAATCTCCGAACTGCCTCGGGTGCAGGACTCAATATATTGTTTAATTTATTCATGAATTATTTGGTCATTTAAAATTATTTGTTCAGATTAACTATTAACAGGCATAACCTTTTTATGTCATAGAATGTGTATTTAAAATATGTTTTATAGCTTTTACACCTTTACGTGATTTAGCATTGATGTGGCAACTGTATTTGCATGTGGCATTTGGGAAAATATAATATTAATATGAAAATTCGATTGAATAGTGAACAGTTTTTCTCTAATCAGGAGATGACGTCCATGCAATAAAAAACAATTATTTTCTACATTAGTCTTTTGATTGAATTCTTCAGGAAATGTATATGTGGTATCATCTTGTCCATGTACCATATTGTCCATGTATCATACGGTCTATGTATCATATGGCCCGTGTATAATATGGTCCATGTATCATCTGGTCCATGTATCGTCTTGTCCATGTATCATCTGGTCCATGTATCATACGGTCTATGTATCATCTGTTCCATGTATCATATGGTCCATGTATCATTTTGTCCATGTATCATCTGGTCCATGTATCATTTGGTCCATGTATCATACGGTCTATGTATCATCTGGTCCACGCATCATCGGATCCATATATCATCTTGTCCATGTATCAATCTTATCCATGTAGCATCGTTCTAAAAACATGTTCATAAAACTCAGGACCCTTCACCTTATCTGGGATAGCAGCACTTTCAGCACATACAAATGGACCAATTTTTTTACAGATGTATTAGTTTTATCATCTTTATCGAGTTTGTGACAGCGTGACAAGCCTCGTTTTTGGAACGCACTAGTATGGACATATGCTATAACTCTTCTAAAAACTGCGCTTTTATTATTATCTTCAATAATAGCTTTCACTTGACACTAAAAATCCCAAGTAGCGCCTTCCTCCCGCTCAAAATTGCATTTTAGCGCGCCTGGGCTATAATAATATTCTACTAACCCACCAGCTTTTACACAGCATAGTTATTACACAAACTATTTCAGAAAAAAAAAATTTACACACCAAATGCACTTTTTAAAAAAAAATAATCTCATTTAGCGCAGTTATCGGGAATTTTCGTTAACGTTCATCTTGAAAAACAGGAAAATTCTATTTTGGGGGTGGGTTGAAAGAATGTGTTATCATGTGCTAAGTTTCAGCTTGATAGGTTGATGGGAAGTGGATCAATTAGCCGTCCGAAAATTTTGCCAGGCAGCGGCCAGCAAACAAAAGCGAAGTTAATTTAAAGGATTACATGTCCATGGTAAAAAAAGGATCAGGTTTTACTTTATCCAGCAACACCAATGATAAAGTCATGATACCCTACATTCATGTTACGTGATGATCCTCGACCCATTACGCCATACTTTCTTTCATACCTAGAGACTTATATTGATTCCTTGATAAGTTACATCTAACTCTCAGCTTATTGGCTCAATGATGTACGATTTCCTTTAGTAAAATACAGAGATGTGCATCGGCTTAAAGACAGTGGTTCTCGAATTCTTTATTTTATCGCTCTGTGGGTAATGGCTATTTACCAAAAAAACTCTCAACCCCAGTGTTTCAGGGTCCTATTACCGCCTCATATTGCGTAGCAAGATGGGGTTGGGCTCTAGCTCCAGCCTGTGGACAAGAGCTCGTGGTGTGCTGGCGTCAGTTCAGGGGAACCGGTTGGGATATTCTAACTTTTTGTAGAAAAGGCCAACATAATTTTTAAAAATTCCTTGAATTCCATTACCTAAAGAAATCTGACCATTACCGAATCGGTTTTTGCTTGATTAGCAGCACACCGCTAATTATAGAGCAGGTGTGCGACCTGTACCCTCACACAGTGCGCCTTGGCCATAGGGGCACCTAGGGCGCCCAGTAAATATTTAAGTTCCCTTAGTTTATGATAGTGAAGTGTGAACCTCGGGTCCGGGGTCGAGACACGGTGTTCTAACTTTTCGTACAAAAGCTTTTCATACAATGAGTTTTCATACAGTGAGTTTTCATACAGTGAGTTTTCATACAATGAGTTTTCATACAATGAGTTTTCATACAATGAGTTTTCATACAATGAAATCTGCATTCTTAATTTGGATACAGGGACAGGGAAGAGGGCGCTGAACGGGTGCTTCTCATAGGGTGAAAGTTTACCTAAGGCTTAACTTTGGCACCCCTCATAAGTATAATCATCAAAGGGAAAAAAACACTATTTGTTCGGTAATGAGTTTATTACCAATGTTGTTGTTGTTGTTTTTAAACAAACACTAAACAAAAACATAGGTAATAAACTCATTACCGAATAACTAGTTGTTTCCTTTAATGATTAAACTTATTATAAGGGGCGCCGAAGTTAAGCTTGCACAGGGCGCCAGCAACCGCCGGGCCGGCCCTGTAGAGAGGGCTGCCTTGCGGGCCCATGGCCGCTCCGTCTCTAGTTCACGGTTTGGCCCTGGCTCCGTAGCCGTAGGACAGGGCCAAGTTCCCATCAAAAGGTGTCATAAGCAGCGGCAGGTGGTGTGACAGATTACGTCAACTTGTATGACGTAGTTCCATTGTGTAACACTTACAAATGGTCTTAATTAAATATTTTGTCATCATCTGATTTCATGAGTTCATCCACAATTTCAGATGACATCGCTAGAACCGACACAGAATGAAACAGAGATTGGACATACCCAGGGCCGTGTGAAGAGGTGGCGAACGGTGCCCTACGTACGGACATTTGCGGACCAGTTAGTTTATGTCAGATCTACGGATTCTCCATAAATTTACGGATGGTTGGCGACCCTGCACAGGCGTAATTAACCCCTTTGCGCTGTTGAGATTACGCCTCTGTCATTTCATTCTCTATTTTATTACATTTTGTATACTATCTAAAAAAAAAAAACACACATTAAAAAAAAACATGACATAAATATATTGTTATCTTGAATCTCGCTATCGTCATTGTCTTGTTGCGATGCATTTAAATACTAGCTCATATAGACTCGAGATTAAAGTATATCTTATTTCAAACTACGATAATATCGCCTTGCGCAATTTTTAACACTGACGTACCCCACTATCAAACAGCCCACCATATATAAAGCATTGGTTCGGTCAGCTGTGATAAAGTAGACCTTCCGGGCAGTGATAACATTGGAAGTCTGTGCTCGGCACTTAAGTAATTACATATTCCATAAAGAAATCCAAAGTGTGTGTGGGGAGGGGGGGGGGCAAGAACTCGGCACTTAAGTAATTACATATTCCATAAAGAAATCCAAAGTGTGTGTGGGGAGGGGGGGGGGCAAGAGGGGGGGGGGGCTTTTTGGTTTCTTTTTACTGTTGATGTCTTCAGTAACCTTAAGCAATCATTTATTTTTAGTGTAGTCTACATAGAATTCTAGTGTATTCTACATAGAAATTTAGTACATTCTATTTATAAACAGTCTTTATTTTTTTATATTTTAATGAAATTATTTGCAAACCATTGATTTCGCCTCTTTTTAACTGCCAGACATTAAGGATCGTATCTCAACTGTTGAGCTATGAGTGCATCATTGTTGAAGGATGTATACGTTTTAGTTCTGCTCTGTTTTCTACAGCAAGGACTCATACAGCAAACAAACTGCTCAGGTAATTTCATTTCATTTTTAGTTTCATAAACAAAGACAAAAATCTTTAAACACATTCTATTTATTTTCCTTTGGATAGGAATGTAAATGGGGGTGGGGGGTGTCCACCGCCAAGAGAAGCACTTCTGTTAATGTTAAACAGCAACACAATATAACAGTTCCTTGTGGGGAACATATTATAGGAGGTCCCCCCCCCCTTGGTGGCGTTTATTTAAGGTGCGCCACTGGCTAGGACGCAAGGCGTGAAAGTCAAAACACAAGTGGTGTGCATTTGTGCATGCAAAAAGGCCATTCTTCCTATGATATTTCTTAATAAAATCTTCTTTCTAGTAATATAAATGTTTGAACGTGTTCACCAAAAACTCTGATCCGGGCAGTGTAACCATTAGAATGAGAAGATTACTGAATGTAATACTAGCATATTCTATCTTTTCATCAGATGTCGTAGGTTGCAAGCGAAGCATTTAGCTCAAGCTGCTCCTACTTAAAAGCTTCCAATTAAAAACTGAATTTTTCATGGATAAAATTTGTTTCCCTAATACAAACATAGAACTGACAGTCTCTAATTATCAAATTTTGTATCAAATACCTACAAATCGAAATTGATACCAGCCGATTTCTGATACTACCAATGTGTAGAAGAATATCCAACAAAAGAGCATCAAAGAAAAACAAAGAATATCTAAAAGTAGCTAAGAAAAATGTTTAAAAATATCAAAGAATATCAAAGAATATCTAGGAGTATCAAAGAATATCGAAGAAATCTAAGAATATCAAAACATATCAAAGACTATCTAAAAATATTAAAGAATATTGACGAATATTAAAGAATCTATCAGAATATCTAAAATAGACACCCCTCATCAATGTTTACCAAACTGAGATTGAAACCGGTACAAGAACTGAAACCGACGTGTACCCCGTGTACCCCGGGACAAGCCAGCTAAACCTTCACTATCCCGGTCCATCCAGGACTTACCCCGGGACAAGCCAGCTAAACCTTCACTATCCCGGTCCATCCAGGACTTACCCCGGGACAAGCCAGCTAAACCTTCACTATCCCGGTCCATCCAGGACTTACCCCGGGACAAGCCTGCTAAACCTTCACTATCCCGGTCCATCCAGGACTTACCCCGGGACAAGCCTGCTAAACCTTCACTATCCCGGTCCATCCAGGACTTACCCCGGGACAAGCCTGCTAAACCTTCACTATCCCGGTCCGTCCAGGACTTATTATAAAGCCTCTTTATAATCTTTTTTTTTTTCGTCCATTTCACAGAATGTGGCGGAACCTTGATACAGGAGAATGGCGTCATCTTGTCTCCAAATTATCCGAACAATTATGCAAACTATTTAGCTTGCAAATGGACAATAAAGGCCAAAGAAAACCAGATAATTGACTTGAGGTATACTTATTTTTTCCTGTAAAATTTGACATCACAATAACATAAAAATAAAGGACTAATAATGAATAGGCTTGTTTTGAATTTAGTATAGGCTGTATCAAGGGGAATAATGCCCAAATTAAAACATCTCTCCACAGCTAACGTTATCTTTAGTAGCCAATGTTATGTACAGCTATATGATTTTTTATACTTACAAAAATACATCTTGAATGATAACAAAATGTGTCGATACACCGATACTATTACTATCATCATTTTGAATTCGATGACACGTTAGTTATTGTGAGGCGACATCTAGTTGCCACTTTTAGACGCTTCTGCGCATTAGTAGGCCAATTGCTAAGTGGGTTACTTGCGTGCAAAAGTTCTACCAGATGCTTTGACCTATCACAATGCTTTGAAAAGGAAAAAACAAATGTAAGAAAATTGTGTAATCTTCCCGCTAACCGCGACCCAGACTCTGGGTTAGACTTAAACTATCGCAAACTAAGTTTGATTTTTTTGTTTAATATTTGATTGAATTTTTGAGGCAACGTTCGACCGTATTGAAAACAATATTTTAGTTTTTGTTTTTATATGGCTGGGGAAACTTTCTAGGAATTTAAAAACCAAATATGACACAAAATCAAAACATTGAACTACATGATTAGTTATGACAACTTTTTTTCAACTTTTTGTAGGTGCCCCATCAGTCAGTGAACGATATGAATTTTGCAGTTGCAGAAGTAGGGAATCTAGTTGTCTTGAGGTGTCCAATTGGACTCTGAATATCTAAATAAAATATGCAACAGTAAATTAAATATGCTTAAACTTACAACTAAAAACAATCAGCTGAAGTTATTCAATAAAAAAAATAATTAATACATGTTTTATTTAATTTTGTTGTCTAAATCTATCCGACCTAAACTTTGGTTTCAAACAATAATTTATTATATCGCCTACTTGTTAGAATTAGAATATCTTTGTCAAAACTTGCTTCAGCAAGGTCTCCCCAGAATCGAAAACCGCTGCAAACTATCTGCCTCACCAATCTTTATCTTTGACCAAAAGTTCATCACAGTGGTAACTTGCATCAAATATGTGACGTCAAATGATGAACATGATTAAAACTAAAACTAATTTGCACTTCCTCTCATGGCTGCTAAGTGACGATGATCTTCTATATTTCAGATTTAAAAGGTTTGACACTGAGCAAACATACATGTGCTATGATACGGTAGAGGTTTTTGATGGCAATAAACTGACCACGTTTTGTGGATCCAAGCCACAAGCGGTCTTAACCAAAATTTCCCTGAGATCAAAGAGAAATGTTATGGTTGTTAACTTCAATTCGGACGGTTCAGAATCAAGACCTGGCTTCCTTGCCACCTACTGGATGCATGGTTTGTAATACACAAAGTTCAATAGAGTCAACAAATTATTTTTTAAATTGCAAAATAACCTCATTTACAATTTTTTTGTTTTTGACTTAAGTCATCCTTAATAATTCTTTTCCCTACAGAATGCCCCCAATTCTCCTATGGTCCCGACACCTGCAACAAAACATGTCAATGTGTGCCAGAGAACTCAGTCCAGTGCGACAATGTAAACGGCACCTGCTACTGTCAATCAGGGTGGACGTCACATGACTGTTCCGTGGATATCGATGAGTGCCGAAACGCGCCGAACGAGCTGTGCCCCGGTGAAAATCAAGATTGTGTCAACACACCTGGCGGTTACCTGTGTGATTGTAGACGAGGTCTTGTCAAAAATGTCACAGGACATTGTCAGGGTGACTTGAATTATTGGCTTTAGGTGTATTACGCATGCTTGTAAAAAAAAAGAATAATTCAAAAGTGTGTTACAATGCTATTATCATGTCCGGCTCATATCACCGGGTTAACGGTATCAGTATGTCAGCATTATTAAGGTGCTCAGTTGAATGAGTTTCTTTCTTACCCAGTTACTGAATGAGGGAGTTGTCTTTTTAAGGCAACAGCCAAAACAATTAGACAAACGTAGATATTTTTTTTCCTTTAAAAGGATTGACTTTTTTTGTTTTAATATAAACTATATAAACTATAATACACTATATATATATATATATATATGTGTGAGTGTTTGTGTGTATCATCTATATTTAATTTATTCAGCGGGAATACTCTTTCAGACCCTAAGCAATGCGTGGAGAAGAAATGTTCTCACATGTGTGGAGTAGTTTCCACCAACCCTTGGACTGAAGTGTGTTACTGCCCAAATGGGATGGAGCTAGACCCAGTTGATGATAAAACATGTGTGGGTGAGTCACTTAGAGCAGGGGTCTCAAACTCAAATCATCCGGGGGGCCGCAGGAGGTAGAGTCTGGGTGAGACTGGGCCCCAATCAAGTAAACAAAAAATGCGATTACAAATTCATTAAAGTAAAACTGGTACTATCTGGTCAGAGATTATTAATAACAAAATAAAAAAAATAAGGATTCTAAGAACTAGGCTTCTTTTCTTCCTCCTACTCCTTGTTGCTAGAGACCTGTCAGTGCTTCTTCTTACACTACTGAGCAACATTTGGCTTGAGTGAGGAAGCAACTGAGACCCTCAGTGAAGCTTGAAGATGCTCATCAGTAAATTTGGCCCTCAACTTTGACTATTTAAATTTCATAGTGGGAAAAGAGCTTTTAACACAGATGGGTACTCCCAGAACAGCACATTATCCACTTGAGCAACCTGACCTGGAAATCTCAGTAAAGGTGGAGAGCAATACTCTCATAACTTGTCCATGCTTGTCTGTTTCTCCATTCACTCCCTGAACTAAGAATTGCACTGAAGATCAATCAGTTCCATTTGAAGCGGGAAAAAAATGTGTGTGTGTGTGGGGGGAGGGGGTGTTTGGGCGCATCTTCCACATTATAGGAGAAAAGATCAGCAGAAAGTTGAAAAGTCGCTCTGTCTGTTTTTAAGTCTAAAAAATCTGATCAAATTCTTCCTGGAGCTTTGCAATGGCATCAGTATACTTACTACTGAATGGTGTGCTCGAGTACATGAGTACTTTGCAGGTTGGGAAATGGCAGAGGTTTTATGCACAGGCAACACTGACAAGCTGCCCCTGGTCTTCTAACTTCTTGATGAGTACATTCAGCTCCTGTATAATGTCAACAAGAAAAGCTGTCCATGAGCCATTTGGGATCACTTAGTACAGGAAAAACCACCTCATCCTTCTCCAGAAAGGCTTTGAAAGCTAAAACAGTTCAAACAGTGGGCAGGAGCAGGCGATATTTATGAATTATTGATGCGAAGGAAGATGCTATTGCAGGGATAATGAATGACTTTTTTTCTAACCCTATTTTTAAATGGAACCAAGCTCACATGCTTGGAAATTCCCTCTCTCGTTAAAAGTAAGGACACTTTAAATAGGGATCCTTTGATACTGTGTCAGATTGCTACGATTTACACAATTATGGTTGTGATTTATCCACTAATTGAAATTTAAAACTTTTCTAAAAAAAACGCACTTTGGCCATGTTTGTCTCATAAAATGCTACTGCTACAAAATTAAAAATGTTCGTACCGTTTTTAAACGGTTTTTACCATTATAATCAACGTCCAAATCTATACAAACATAAAAATAAAATCAGAATCAGACTAGTTGGTGAGATTAGACTGAAATCGTCGCGGAAGGTCACATCTTAGAGTATGAGAATGGGGAAACCTTGCGGGCTGCACAACGCTAAACTTTGCTGTCATGTGGTGGGCCGCGAGTTTGAGACCCCTGACTTAGACGGAATAATAGAAAATTAAATTTTTCTTAGTTTGCAAAACATTAACCAAACAATTGATGAAAACAAAAATCATCGTTTGTCAAAAGCAAATGAGCGAAAAAAAAGTATGGGGAAAACCTGAAAAAAAAGAAGAAACAAAACATCAAACGTGTCGGCAAGTAGCCTTCTTCATCAAAGAAACAACATTAAAAACAATATAAAATTAAAATTAACACTTAATAGCAATGTAGTATCCGAGAGAATAGCAAGAGTAATGTGGCAGAACATAAGTAGGTTAGAGATTTAATACAGGCAAAATGGGACGGAAGAGAGGAAAATTAAGTTCACTTCGTTTGGTCATAACGTGAAAGTGGCATAGAAAAAGTTTTAACAAGTGAAGGAGAACTTAACATCCAAGCCATGTGGTGTCAAGGCTCCATAAGTCTGAATCACTTTGTTTTCCAAGTTCACCTGTTTTGGTGTGTTTGTACCAGACACAATGACGGTGATGGCAAAATCCTCTGAACCCTTGCGATCTCTTCTATTGGAGTTCTTTGAGATGGGACACTGCTTATTTGGCACAATACTACGAGGGCGCTCAGTACAATTGTCAGAGAGGTGGCGTCTAGGCTCACCTGGAGACACCATCTGGCACCGGGTGCAAACAATGGTCTCGACACCGTTTGTCGGGCGTACGGTTGTGTTCTAATATAAAATACATGTTTCATCTTTCCTTTAACAAGTAAGCTAATTTCTTTTCCTTTAAATGATAAAGTGTTGCACTTGAATGAAAATAGGACTTATGACAAAAAAAATCTGTAGCATCAAACAGTTCTATATCTTCATCATCATATCATCATCATGTCCGTTAGTCCTTGGACTGTTGGGGCGCCACAGATGACATGTGAACTATCCCATTCGTCTCTGTCTTCTCAAAATCTTAACTTAGTATATATATATATATTTCTGCATCTTTCTTAAATTATAAATTTTAACATTACCATAATTTTAAATATTTTCTTAGATTCACACGTTTTAAGTTTCTACTTTATCCTTTATTAATGTCTTTGATAATAGAGTGTGACGGTTGGAGTTACGGTAAGGACTGCACTCTCAAATGTCAGTGTGACCCCAATCGGGCGTCAACGTGTGACAGCTTCAGCGGAGAATGTCAATGTAAACCAGGGTGGGCGAGCCCTGGCTGCACTAACATCAACGAGTGTGCCTTGAATGCCAGCAGCCATATATGTGGCTCTTACGGCACCTGCCTGGACCAACTGGGAACCTACAACTGTATGTGCCACGACCAGTATGAATTTTTTAATGGAACCTGCAAAAGTAAGACTGCTTAGGGGACTAGTATTTTCCCGCGCAAAGTCGTAAGAGCTATGCATTTTTCTTCTTCTCTTCAGGCAATAGTTTTTGAAGGAAAAAAAAAGTGGAGAAAATATAATTTAATAAGTACTAGGCATTGTGGTTAGGGATAGAAATTTAACTTTGGAATCCATTTTGTGCCATTGAATTCCTAATTACCCTGCCTCTGAAGAAGCTAAAAAAATGGGTTCTTCATTTCTCTGTGATAACCATCTTATATGTTGTGTGATGAAACCTCATAAAATAACCGAAGATATCCTTTTTTTGCTCCTGGTCTTCGTGCATCAGCTAAAATGCAATAAATTTCGTGTTGTTTTAAATGAGAGAGATATTATGGATTATTGTAATGTAAAAATAATTATTGTTTTGATTTATTTCCTTAAAAAAAAAATAAAAAAAAACAGAATGCGGCAGGGAGTTAACAGAAACAGAAGGATTTATATACAGAATGGTGGGATCTTCAGACGGTTCATCTTTTGAACAGTGCTACTGGACCATCAGAGCTCCAGAAAATCATGTCATTTCAATAAGGTAACTTTTAAGCAACAAAAAAAAAAACATCCCCTTTTCAATTCGGTAACTTTCTTACTTATTTTAAATCTTAGACTTCTCTCTCTCTCACCCCCTCTCTCTACCTCTCCATCACTCTCTGTCTCTCTCGGTCTCTCTCCATCTCTCACTCTCTTTCTCTGTCCCCACTTCTCTATCTGTTTCTCTCTCTCTCTCTCTCTCTCTCTCTCTCTCTCTCTATCTATCTATCTATCTATCTATCTATCTATCTATCTATCTATCTATCTATCTATCTATCTATCTATCTATCTATCTATCTATCTATCTATCTATCTATCTATCTATCTATCCATCTATCCATCTATCCATCTATCCATCTATCCATCTATCTATCTATCTATCTATCTATCTATCTATCTATCTATCTATCTATCTATCTATCTATCTATCTATCTATCTATCTATATGTCTGTCTGTCTGTCTGTCTGTCTGTCTGTCTGTCTGTCTATCTGTTTGTCTCTCTCTGCATTGAAAAATAGAATATCGTGTACATCAGTTTAAATTCAAACATGTAATATATTTTTATGCCAGCCAGACAAAATCAGCACACAACTCTATGATACCTTAAATTATTATTAAAAAGGGTAAGGAAAGCTTCATCGTGTTTATTTGTCCAATGCCCTGCTGAACTGTCTGATCTTTTCACTTTAAATCATTTTGATGAACCATCAACAATAAATGCCACAAATAACCTTATAGTTTTCTTCCTTTCTTTGGTGAAAATGTATGTCTTACTCTTTGTAGGATTGTATGTCTTACTCTGTGGGATTTTTATGTCTTACTCTCTGTGGGATTGTATGTCTTACTCTGTGGAATTGTATGTCTTACTCTCTGTGGGATTGTATGTCTTACTCTCTGTAAGATTGTATGTCTTACTCTCTGTAAGATTGTATATCTTACTCTCTGTGGGATTGTATGTCTTACTCTGTGGGATTGTATGTCTTACTCTCTGTGGGATTGTATGTCTCACAATCTGTAAGATTGTATGTCTTACTCTCTGTAGGATTGTATGTCTTACTCTCTGTGGGATTGTATGTCTTACTCTGTAGGATTGTATGTCTTACTCTCTGTAGGATTGTATGTCTTATTCTCTGTGAAATTGTATGTCTTACTCTCTTTGAAATTGTATGTCTTACTTTTGTATGTATTACTCTCTGTGAAATGGTATGTTGTTCTCTCTGTGAAATTGTATATACAGTGGAACCTCTCATAACGAGCACCTCGCATTACGAGTAATTCGCATAACGAGGAAAAAAAATGTTAAGAAGTTGCTCCTTCAACATCAAAATCTGCTCTATTCTCAAGAACAAAAACAAAATTAAGGAGATGGATGGAGAGCGCATTAATGGAGGATTAAGTAGCAGAGCAACAATCTTCTAGCGCAATAAGAGAAATGCTGAAAGCATGGGCAACTGTTGCATCGTACATTAAGAAGCATCACCCTAATAAGGAGGTGGCTATTCGTGCTACAAATGTATTCAATGATAATGCTGTGGCACATTTTCGTCAAATTTTGAAGCGTCAGCAAAAACAAATGTCTTTAGACAGTTTTCTAGTTAAAAAGGATTAATTATTTGTAATAAATTCATATTTTTATTTACGTTTTTTTGTTTCAAATCTAAATTATATTCCAAGCTGTTACACTCCTTAACAATTGATAAGTCATTTTATTTGAATAAATGTTAAATTTTTTTTTTTTTGAAAAATGAGTATTTTTTAAGCATGGAACGCATTATCGTATTTTACATTGATTTGTATGGGAAAAATTGTTTCATTTAACGAAGTGTTTCGCTTAACGAGTAAGATTCTAGAACGAATTAGGCTCATTATGAGAGGTTCCACTGTATTACTCTCTATGAAATGGTATGTTATTCTCTCTGTGAAACTGTATGTCTTACTCTCTAGGAAATTGTATGTCTTATTTTTGTATGTCTTAATCTCTGTGAAAGTGTATGTCTTACTCTCTGCATGCAGCTGAAGTCATAACGATATGCCGACGTCGTAGTGATTCTTAGAGGTGTTATATTAAGTTAGCTTTGTGTGTTTGCTTGTCTAGGCGTTTGCCGGGCATTGAGTGTCAGTCCACAAACTTGGGATTAACTCACTTAAGACCGCTCGGCCACCCAGAACCCCAGTTGGTGGGACTTGTTAACCTTGGATGATAAGTCATCTAAAAGAGAAGGCCATCTCTGAAATCAAACCAGAGATGGAGTCCCGTGGGCGTCATGACACCGACACAATTAAAAATACAGAAGAAAAAAACCCTGCGAAGTGGAACGCATAAAGATCACATCGAAACACATAAAAATGCTGCTACTGTCCCCCCCCCCCCCCCCCCAACACACATCCATTACCCTAATACAGTTATCTGGACTAAGTCTTGCCATTGGATTAAATGGTCAAAGACGAGAAAGCGAGGCTGATGAATTTAACAATTGCACCTTACTTTAAACAAAATACAGCACAAGTCAAGGCTCCTTCTCAAGCCTTGTTCATCTTTCCATGCGCTGGGCAAACAATAATAATATTAATCAATGAATCGTATTGCTTTTTGTTTAATGATTAGTGCACGATACATCATTTGTTTTTCTTGAGGTTCACTTCGTTTTCAATGGATTCTGGATTCGTCAAACTGTACAGTGGCAATGGGTCAAAGACTGCATTTGCTACAGTAACAGTAAGTAACAAGAATCATCTCTTCCGTTCCGCCACCAATGTCTTGAAAATCGATGACAACTTCGCTAAGTTTCCGAATTTCTTCAATCTTACATACTGGACTCATGGTAAAAACATGAAATTGGCTTTTTATTTACAAACAAATGTATAAATTTTTGGTTTTTGTATTGTATTAGATATTCATAACTCTACTAGTATACTTGGTTGGTGAGAGTCTAGTGAAATATTGATACGTTTATATTAGGTTAATTGTTTTTTTTTAAAATTGCGTTTGCATGCAAGTACATTCGATAATGTACTTTTAAAAATAGGTTTCATTTTTACAAAATTAAAAACGCCGTTATATAAATTGGCTTGACTAGAACTGTTTATAAATTTGTGAACTCTAAATGAATTACGGGCTAGTGAGTGAACAAAAAAAAACAGAAAAAGGAAAACAATCAAAAACTATGTTATTAATTTCTCAATACCCGGTATCTACTTTTGAACCAATATTCCAATATTTGCGCTACCTATCATTAGCATATTATTGTCTCTTACCTCAGAATGTGACCCTTTCACACACGGTGACAGGTGTGAAAGTAGATGCGATTGCTTGGCAGAGCATACAATCTCTTGTGACAGCCTAGATGGTAACTGCGTATGCGCCTCAGGGTGGTCAGGAAGTAGTTGTACTGTGGATGTTAACGAATGTGCACCCTGCACGTCTCAGTGTCTGAGAACCCCTGGTTGCCTCTGTTCACAATGCCCGTATGATCAGAACTGCTACAATCATGAAGGGACATTTGAGTGTGTTTGCAAAGAAGGTCTCCTATTTAAACCAACGGGAAAATGTGGAGGTATGATCTACTCACACCGCATTTAAAGATGTAAAAAAAAAAAAAAAAAAAAAAAAAACGTTTACTTGTATCATCTTCCAAATGATGTCTTAAACCTATCACTATTCAATTGCATTATTCGCATTTAGTTTTAAAATACAATTTCCTCCTCTTTGATCCGTGGAGAACCCAGATAAGTAATGCAGTGGTGTCATTAGGGGGTGCGGGCAGTACCGGATGACACCTTCACACAATGGGAAAACTCTAAGCTTGCTCGAGTTTGTCCTGAAATAAATCTAGGTTAAATAAATATTTCTTTCTATTTCAATCTTCCGCATACCTTGCTCTGTTATTTCCTTCACACAGCTTCAACGCAGTCCTTCATTTATTATACTATTGTCCCCCCCCCCCCCCCCCCCCCAGACTTAAACTTTTTTACCTGGTGAGTTCTCTGAGGGGTTTACTTTATTGTAAGTGGCACGCTTGCTAAGGCACCACTAGGCCAAATTTTGGTCAATATTGGAAATTTTAAAATTCAAATAGATCAATCGATTTATTGGGAAATGTTTGCATCTTTGGAAACCAGGAAAGTAAAGTTTTAAGTGTAGGGTTTAATGTTTCAATAAAAGTACATTGTTTTGCATTTTTAACACTCTGGCCTAGTTAAATGGGGGGGGGGGCGGGGCGACTTTATCATAGGCTGACACCAAACCTAGTGAGACTGCTGAAGTAATGTATTATTAAACTAAGTTACAAAGTTACAACTAAAATCCAGCCCATGTCCCATGTTCTAAATGTCCCATGTCCCATGTTCTAAATGTCCCATGCCCCATGTTCTAAATGTCCCATGTCCCATGTTCTAAATGTCCCATGTCCCATGTTCTAAATGTCCCATGTCCCATGTTCTAAATGTCCCATGTCCCATATGTCTGCAACTAGAAGGATATGTTACCAAACGCTGGTCAGTTTAAATACATTTAATATTTCTTTTCTTCTCTTCAGCTTGTCCTCATCTCACTTATTCTGAGAACTGTTCCAAGACATGTGACTGCGTGCAAAACCACACACTCTCCTGTGATGCTACCTTTGGTACATGCAAGTGTAAGCCAGGCTGGGAGTCACATGACTGCTCCGTTGATATCAATGAATGTTTCTCCTACAGGTTTGAATGTCCCTCTCAGTTCGCTTACTGTGAGAATCTCCCAGGCAGTTATGCATGTCATTGTTTTGACGGGCTAGAGATGGATGAAGATAGAAACTGTGCAGGTAATTTTGTATGGGGTATTTTTTAAGGCTGGCAATTTCAGTATTTGTTTTCATGTGCCTATTTTTTAAAAAAAATTGTTCTCAACGTGCTGGTTGAATATACTGTTATAAATAAGCCACATGAGATCTGCAATATATATTTATAAAACTGTTTTGACTTATTGAATAAAAAAAAAATTCCTCTCTGCGCGATTGTTAGAGTAGCATTCGTAATTTCAACCACTTTATCTTCCGTTACCTCAAACTCTTCAGCTCCCTTAGTCATCCACCAGCCTTTGTCATGTTGTAGTTTTAACTTTATTTAACACCTCCTCCCCAAATTTCATTTGAAGCCTACAAGGAACCGAAGATCTTGACAGTTCCGAAGTACGAGTTGTAAATGTTATGAACTAGATTTAGGAACGTGAATGTTTGTTATGAAAGGCAGCCGATGATGGTCACGGGAGGGTTTTTGTGAGAGTGAGGTTGTCATTCGTCGGGAGTGGTTATGCAAGGTCAGAACGTGGGGTTAGATAGTGGTGTTCGGTTTTTTTAGAGAATGCCTATGGGGAGTGATAGGTTTCGAAAGAGTAGTGTGGTAAGTTATGTTGAGCCATACCAAGTGTACAAAGAACCACCGATAGTAGCAACATAAAAAAGGGCAGACAGCGCTGGACATGACATATTGAAAGAATGCTGGAATGTACAACAGAGAAAAGTGATATAAAGGCAGAAAACTATGGAGCAGACGACTCACCGGTCGCCCAAGGCTGAGATGGATCGACGGTGGCGATTAGGGGTGGACAGGAGAGTTCAAGCGGCCCGGGGAAAAAAAACAAAGTGGCCCGGGAAAATAACAAAAAGTGGCCCTGTCTTTATGACTTTTATTTGTATTATATCACCGGTCCTGGCGGCTCATCGGGAATCTTCCCGGCGGCCCAGTCCACCCCTGGTGACGATGTAGAGTTAGATTTACACCAGTTGGGGGTTCGCGCATGGAGGCGAAAAGTTTTTATTGCACACATTTCCTAGGAACTCTATACAATACCGAAGAGCAACCCGACAATGTATAGAATACCCCGCCATTCATGTTTGATTCGTGGATCGTTCCGAAAGGAAGGATGAGATGAAGCAGGCCAGGACCCTACCTGGGCTTTAACGCCACTGATGATGATATTAAGGGCAGTATTCCTAAGTGTTTTTCTGGCAGGATGGCCGTGAATTCAGATGGGGGTATCAGCCAACTTTTTTTGCTGTTAGCAACGCGTTTTCATTGTGTGCAACTTTTTTGTTTTGAACACGGTGTAATATTAAAGAGAATGTGTAAATAAAAATCTCTTTTATTTTCACTCGGGGTTAAAAATGGGGACGCCTGCCACTTTTTTATCAAATTTTACGAATGTATCCCTAAATCGATCCCTATGCCTAACCTGAACCCTAAATCGATCCCTATGCCTAACCTAAACCCTAATTCACTGCGACTATAATAAAGATAAATAAGACGCCGTGGCAGCCGTCCTCGGTTTTAGCCTCACTTGGCACTGTTACCTGTTGTAGTCACCAGATGTGGACGTAAGCATTCATTAGACATGGTTGTTACCATAGAAAACAAGTAGGGCTCATCAAACTGTCCGTTCATCATCGGCACCTATCGGCAATAGGCAGAGGCGTAGCTAGAGTGTTTGGCGCCCGGGGACAAGATTCACCGTAAAGCGCTCCCTTTTCTTTTTTCATCTCTCAAACCCGTTATTTTCATCAATAAAATAATATCAAAGCACAATTTGGCGCCCCTCACTAGCTGGCGCCCGGGGACATCTGTCACCCCCTGCACCCCTTCGCTACGCCTCTGGCAATAGGCTAGTGCTAGACTTTGTTAATTGTAAGAAAGAAGATCGTAACAATATTTTTTTTTATTTTAATTCTTCTTTGTTAAAATGTTACACGTTGAATAAAACAAAATCACGTTTTAATTTGTAAAAAAAAATTTGTATGGCATAAAACTAACTCTTGCCTTTTTTTTTAACCTTTTTTTCCAAATATTTTAAATGCTATGAAGGATGTGTATCTTTCTTTTTTTTTTTTTTTTTTTTTTTTTTTTTTTTTTGTATAGTAAAAAATAATGATTCCAATTGCACCTCAAGCCACTGCCCCGGTGTGTGTGTCCAGATGACAACTGACTCTGAAGATAAAGAAATGTGTTACTGCCCACTTGGTGAAGTGTTTGATGGGACTCGGTGTAACTGTAAGGGCTTTTTTCTAATGTCCGTTTGGCTTACTTGATCAGAGTGAATGTTTAAGGCTTAGACTCAAGTACATCAACACACCTTATGCCTTATGGTAGAGAAGCTGGCTGCGGGTGTGGTTGAACTGAAAATGTCTGCCTGCTTAAGAATAAATTTAAATATAATTTAAATATCTTTATTCGAACTGATTTGAAAGTCCATTGTACCCTAAATAATATTTATATGTTATTAATGAGCAGCATATATTATTCTAAATATTGTGAACATCAAAGTTATTGATTATTTTAGATTGTGATTTCCTTACAGCTCGTCTCAAGTTGGCATTGCTGTATCCAATATTTGTAAACACTCGTTTTCTCCGTGTGGAAAACACATTTTTAAACATCATTATTTTAATTGCTCAAAACAAATATTCATCGTAAAGAAGAAATGTTATTTTATTTTGTAGCCTACTGTCTTTTCAACAAAAAAAAATAATAATCATAGATTTATTATGTCATTTTAATCTAAAACTAACTACTAATTTATTTTCCAAATAAAGTACTGATAAGTTAATGATATATATAGGCGTGCCAGAGCTTGAAATGGGACAACAGAAAACTGAAAAATTTCAGACATCTCATTGTATCCACATAAGTTTGGGAGTTTTCCGTATTTTCGTGTTGCCTATATGTTCCAGCAATGTGTGAAATCCAGCATTGCATAAATTGCTTAGGAATTATATAGAATGCCCGAAATTTGTAGGCAAATTATGAAATGGTATTTATTTCAAACACTTCCTAGGAACTCTATACAATACCGAAGAGCAACCCGGCAATGTATAGAGTACCCCTCCATTCATGTTTGATTCTTTCCTCGGTGGTGCCCTCGCCTTGAAGTTTTGCAAGACATACAGACAGGACAAACTCGAAAAAATAATAGAAAGCGTACAAACAACACAGCAGGAAGAAGCAAATCAGCAGATGCAAGATACAGAGCCTACTATACAGAATACTGAAGAGAATGCAACCAATAACGGAGAAAACCAAACAGATTGTGACGGCATGGTTATCGAAGATCCTCCCACTTCTGCTGTTTGCTGTGTCTGCTTAAAAGAAAGCAGCTGCCCCCACACACGCCGAAACTGTCGCCGTAATGTTCATCTTATCATTTGGAATGCTGCTTAAGACGACGGAGATGAGGAAATAGAAGGTTGTGGTATTTTGTGCAGCCTGCGTTTCAACGTTAAGAGAGCTGTCAAATTAAGCTAGAATAGAATCTTGAAAACTTTGAAATCCAGGCCAAAAAATGAAAATAAACTCTTAAGGAGCGAGCTACTGTGCGAGTTCCTATTCCTGACTTTGACAAGGGACTGGTTGACTCTCCCATTCTGTTGGAAGTTGTTATGACAATGGCAGAAGACGGCTTTTACCAATTTGGAACTGCACAAAGTATCTTGAAACAACTGTATGCGAGATCACAGTTCGATGTATGTCCAAAGAACTTATTGATAGTTGAGAACGTCCCTAACCATGATATACCTCTGCCTCTCCGATCTGCTGCTGTCTCTCAGTCAACGGGAAGCTGTCAGGGATTCGTGAGGTGTATGTGCAAAACTAAGTGCCAAAACATGGTGTCTTTGTATGAAAAAAGGAAAATTAATTGCAATTCAAAAGGCCACTCCAGCCTTACTTGCTGCAACAAGAAGTTCGATGTCACCTTTGCTTGCCTTACTTACTGCAACAAGTAGCATGACGTCACCTTTACTTTCCGGGCTCCTTGTTAAGAACGTCCTTTCCTTATTTCATAGTTCTTCTTTTGTTTTCAAATGTGTTTTTTCCAATAAAAACGTTTTCATCACGCTCTTTTGAAACTTTGCCTGAAGTATATTTGTCATTATTTATAATACCTAGGCAATGTTTAAAATGCGTAAAGGAAAGTATGTAACAAAATAAAGAAAATCAAATATTTCATACTTTGCCTAAAAACTTCAGGCATTCTATATAATGACTAGGTATTCTATACAATGCCTGCATTTCACACATTGACGGTAATATATATATATATATAAGATGCGTCTTATACAAAGTTTTACATATGGGTGCGTCTTTTGTAAAATATTTTTACACAAATCGTCAAAACAGGTGTCTTATTTTTATAATTAGGTGTCTTACATGCGCGGAAATACGGTAAGTATTTTTAACAGGAACGAACGATTAGTGTGTGATATTGAAGGACGATTATTGTGGTTGATACTCAGTGTCACGATTTTCATTCCTAGTTGTAAAAAGAATTGGGTAAGTTTTCAATCCAATGAAGGCCACTTCAAATTAAAAATCCTTTAGTTTCAATGTTATAATTATCAATGCCTTAAAAGTCTAAGTCTAAGTCTAAGAAGTCTAAGTCTAAGTCTAAGTCTAAGTCTAAGTCTAAGAAGTCTAAGAAGTCTAAGAAGTCTAAGTCTAAGTCTAAGTCTAAGTCTTAGTCTAAGTCTAAGAAGTTTAACTTCTGGCGTATGTTGTTTCTAGAATCTAGATATAGGTGCTCAGCCCACCCACTATTGGCACGGCGGCAGATAATCTTTGATCTACCGGTAAACTAAAAATGGTAATGAAGCCTTGTTTACATCCGACGAAGATGAAACTTTGGACAGATTTCATTTATGATAAAAGATAGGGAACCACCTGATATAAATTGCTCAGTGCGGCAGATATATAGGCCGCGTGCGTCTTGTAATTTTTGTTTACACAAATCGTCAAAACCCGCGTCTTATTTATGGGAGCGTCTTAGTCTTAGGTAAAATATTTTTTTACACAAATCCGATTCCGATTCAAATCGAAAAAACCAGACAGTGTCAGTGTCTTATATAGTATAATATAGTGCGTCTTAGTCTTAGTTTTATACTTATACTTATATGCGCGAAAATATGGTCATGGTAAATTTAAATTACAAGTAATAAAATAAATTTAATTATTTTATCCCGTTTTTTTTTAATCCATTCTTTAGTATGCGGAGATTTCACTTATGGTGTAAACTGCAATTCAACTTGTGATTGTGTGAGAGACAATACCGAGTTGTGTCACCGCAGCACAGGACAGTGCTTTTGTAAGCACCAATTTCATGGACCTGATTGCTCGATTGATGTTGATGAGTGCTCATCACTTTATACCCGTTATTGTGGGAGCCATCAACACTGCGTCAATACTGTCGGAGGTTACAGTTGCGAATGCAATCCTGGTTATCGTGCGGAAACCAATGGTCAATGTTATTTTGCAGGTTATTTTATTTTTATTAAAATGTTTGAATAAGAGTATAGCTTTGGCTTTAGACTTTAGACTCAGACTACTAACTACTAACCATTGATTTTTTAAAATATTTTTTTGTACAAACAAATTATTGAGGAATATTTAGATCCTTTTTTCACACTTTAGAGCTCTTAATCTTAATTTTTTTTTTAATTTGCTTTTACTTTTGCAAATGAATGAACTTAGGAGCAACAAAAGCAAGACACCAGTGATTTCTGCACATAATTTCAGTTTTAATCTCACACCACACTATTTAAAATAATAACTCAGCTATAAATTATACATTCTCCTGAAGAATTTTTTTTTTTTTAAATTAAAATACATACTGTAATGTATAGTTACAGTGCTTAATGAAATGTTTAGTGTTGTTACAGTGTGTAATGAATGTATTAACAATTACTTGAAGAAGTAATTTGTTAGAATTATCTTTACTAATTAAAGTAAAGCACATTTAAAATCATAGACAAGGCCTGACAGTTTTCAAATTATTGAAATGTGTTAAGATTAAATTAATTCATGGGAAATAAATCTACTCAGATGCAATTCAGTCCACCTCTGTAGTTTCTTTGTTATCTCCAGGATGTGACTTGTTCTTGAATGACACAACTGGAGAAGTGAAAACTATGGTTTACCCTGAAAACTACACCAACTCGTTAAATTGTTCATGGACTATTCAAGTAGAAAAAGGGCATCGCATAACCCTTAAGTAATTATAATTTTCTCTTATTGCTAAGCTCATTGAAATTAAAATCAATTGTTATGCCATTGTAGTATAAATCTGTTACTTTTATTACAATAATGCTCTCTAAATTTGGTCAACAATAATGATGTTTTTTCAGGTTATATTTTTAATACTTTTTAAAAGAAGGATAATTTTAAATTGATAATTAACTGGGATCAATAGCCTGATGTTATGATTTGTTTTTTGGTTTTTTGTTATTGTTTGCTTAGCAAAACCTATTAGCTCTAAAATACTTGCTCGGCTGGAGACCATCCCTTTATAATATAGTAAGACACACAATGAAGGGGGAGGGAAACTGAACAAAAGAAAACTAAATTTTTAAAAAAATGGACGTATTGCCAAAATGCTGTATACAGGGATCGAAATTAAGTCAAACAGTAAAACTAGCCAAGATACCTTATGAGAAGCAGTGGAAGGTCTCATACATCTCCCCCCCCCCCCCCCACCCCCCCCCCTACCCCAAGTATAATAAATCTATATTCTTAGTTTCCTGAGCTACAATGTCTTTCCTGGCTGTGAAGACCTCCTTGAAATTTATGATGGTGCCAGTTTTAGTGATTCACTTTTGGGAGTCTATTGCGACAACTCACCTGGGAAGGTGCAATCTACGCAAAATGCCTTGTATTTGAGATTCATCACAGATAAAGATAAAAATGATCTTGGATTTAGTGCTTTCTATTATTCTTATGGTAAGCCCAATTCTTTTGATTTTTTTATTCGTTTTTAGATCTTTTAATTTATATAAAATTAAAAGTACACTTAGTAAATGAGGTATTGAAAACTTTAGTATAAATGCATTAAAATGGTGTTTTTGGATAGATGAAAATTAAAGTATGAATGCATTAAGATAATTTTATTTCTGAATATATGAAAATTAAAATATAAATGTATTAAAGTTTTGTTTCTGGATACATGAAAATTAATCATTTTTAAAGATAACCTATAACTTTGTCCTTCAGTTCAAAATTATAATTCACTAATGTTAAATTTCAGAGTGCTTGCCTTTGTTTTACTCTGAAAACTGCTCAGTACCTTGTGACTGTGTTTCTGACAACACAGAGGACTGTGACAAAGAAAATGGCATGTGCTCTTGTAAAAAGGGCTGGCAGTCACATGACTGTTCCGTTGATGTTGACGAATGCACTGAGCATCCCGAGTACTGTGGGGAATATACAAAATGCAACAACTTAAATGGCAGCTTTGAATGTCATTGTTTAGAAGGTTTTAATCAGAACAGTAATGCCACTTGCTATGGTAAGAATCACTAAGATTAATTTTTTCATCAAATTTTTTTACCGACAAATTTACATCATTTGTGTATTTTACAGTACTATATGTATTAAGTCATTTTATAATGTATGTGTATTAAAAGCTATTCATTCAGCAATCAATTACTTATGCCCAGACAAATAGGATATAATTTTAATGGTCTTGCTTATAAAAAAAGGTTCATATAATTATACAACTTGAAATTAATACATTGAAATATATTTTACTACTAAAACGATTTTCTGATATCTTGGCAATCAATGCAGTCCCTTTATAAATACTGTCTTTTGACCTTTTTAATATGTGATATTACAGAGAATAGAACTATTTAAAAAAGTAACAATGAAGATAATTATTTTTCTTTTTTTAGCCCCCCTTTCAAATCGCTGTGAAAATACTTCATGTTCTGGTACTTGTATTAAGTTTAGTTCATCAGATAATGAACCTGTTGAGCAGTGTTATTGTCCAAGAGGATATGAACTTGTGGAAGACCACTGCAGAGGTATCTAACATTTCCAAAGATAATAAATAGATTATTTTAAGCAATTTTCTTGATGAGTTGTTTTGTGGCTCATAACTCATTAGAAGTAATGCTTCATCTAAACATCTGAATGAAAATATGGTCTCGACATTTAATATTGAATCTTTGATTACTGCAATAAGGGAATGGCAAACATAAATAATCTCATTTAAAACCTCTGGCGCTTAAAATTGTAAGACAGTTTGTTTTATTCCAAAATGATCGATAAATATATTAGCGCCCAGAAATTTCTTGAAACTGCTAAGCTTCAAAAGTAACATTTATTTACACACTTTTTTTTTTTTTTTTTGGAAGTATGTATCTGAGTAAGAGCTAGAGCCTATATTTTGAATTGGGGAGATGAGACATGGGGATGTAAATGTTAAGTGGGAAAAACAGAACAAGCAAATTCAAAAGTAATTTTTATTTACACATTTTTTTTTTTTTTTTTTGGAAGTATGTATCTGAGTAAGAGCTAGAGCCTATATTTTGAATTGGGGAGATGAGACATAGGGATGTAAATGTTAAGTGAGAAAAACAGAACAAGCAACTGTGAAGTAGTAGTAGTAGAGGAAGAGAAAGTAAAGCAATATGGAGGGGAACATATATGAAAATGGCAGTGGAGCACTGGAGGGAGATGTAAGAAGAGGAAATGGTTTGTTGGTCGGGAGGAGGGGCTTAATTAGGAGAAATGCATAGAGTGATATTGGAAGTGAATGAACTGAGAATGGCATCGAATGAGCTTTAGGTGAATAAAGTGACAAATGGAGGAAGGATAGGGGGGTGTGGAGGTTTTTTTGGAGAAGGGAAGTGCACATCAGATGGTGATATGGATATTGTAAGGGCAGTTATTAAATAGTTAATTGAATTCATAAATTAGTTCCTGTCTTGTCCTGTTAACTGGTTACAACCTTGTGGGATAATATATCTGCAATTGATGTCAGCAGACTTTCTTGTAAAAAGGTTTGAGGAATGATTTGCCATGCTACGGTTGGGCCATAATCTCCAGTACACTAATTTGTTACAATAACAATAAAATAAAATTCATAACACTTACCAGAGAGTTGGTGTGATAGATCAATACATTTCTATCGCAGACTGCACCAATATGACTTATGGCTACAATTGTGAATCTTATTGTTCCTGTGATCATGACAAGACCTTAGCGTGTGATAAAGTAACAGGGAAATGTTTGTGCAAGCGTGGGTGGACTTCACAGAACTGTTCTACAGACGTTGATGAGTGCCAGAGAGTTAAATGTGATGCACGATCAAATTGCACTAACACACCTGGAAGCTATGAGTGTCAGTGTGTACCTGGTTATGAAAGGGCTCCAAATGGTTATTGTGTACAAGAAGGTAGGCTACTTTAATGAAATATATAGTTGTTTTTTTATTAATCTCCATATTACATTAAACATAATTATTGTAATTGTCTCAACATCTCACCCTAGTGGGACTAAGCCAATTGTCACTTTCTGCCATTTCACCCAAGTAGGACTAAGCCATCTGTCCTAGTCTCACATCTCACACTAAGCCAATATGACATGATTGCTACTGAAAGGAATGGTTGCTCATTTCAGTTAGTGCCTGTTTTATTTTGAGAGTATACAGTACTAATGTTTTTAATAAATATATAAGGATACATAAATAAATATATCCTATGAAACTATGCCCCACTATGTATTAGGGGGCCAACTTGCTCATGCATCACTTTGTTTGCTTACATTACTGATCTTTTGTAATGTCGTTTTCCTTTGTTCTCTAATTTTTCATTAAGTCATTTATCTATTGCTTCTATGAAGACAAACATTTATAGGTTTTAAAATCACAAAATTAAAATGATAAAATAAACAGCAGTATTATTGTGTATGGTATCATAACCATATCAAGTTTATAAGTCTGGCTGGAAAAAAAAGCAAAATAAATTAAATGAAACCTAAAATAAGATATGTCTAATTTGGTTTACCAGAAAATTACATGTATTTATTACTGAAAAATTTAAAATGTATTTGACAATTAAAATTTATTTGACACACATTAACCCTGGTGGTCCTGCATAGGTAGAATTCTCACTTTTGCGTTTTAAAATTGTAATAACTTTTTTCCATAACTTTTGGAGACCTAAATATTTTTGACATGTCTAAATTGTGCATTAAAATATGTAAGTTAGACAGAGTTTAAGTTTAAGAAAAAAAATCATAATTTGTACCCGAGATGTGGGGTCGAATCGTTTGGTAAATATGTTCCTTCATATATTTTGTAATACAAATTCTCGGTGTAGGTATATTTTCTGTGCGGTATTAAGTATCTACGCATTATTTAGGTTAAGTTTTGTAAAATAGTTCAGTAGAGGGCCAATTTTCAGATTGTATGTTATTAGAAATGAGGATTATCCGAATGGCACCTGCTTTTTTATTATAATATTTTATCATTTTCTTTGTGCTTGGCATGGAGGAAATGAGTGCACAAATTGTAAAACTATTCCAATCATTGTCACACAATGTATGTAAGATATAGATGCTTATTTACTGTACTAGTTTAAGCCTCAAGAAGGGACCACACTGATATAATGTGATCTGAAAACATGTAAAATAATACTTTTCACAAAATGTTCTCCTACAAATTCCAAGTGATGTCAAATTTTATTCTAAGAACTGGTCATCAATTTTTGAGAACGCCCACTTTTTCCGAAAATAAATCAAGTTCTTACCATTTTTTTTACATCAGTCAGCTGACTCCTGTCACATGGTACATTATGTGTTTTACTATAATGCAATAATATATAGTATCCACTAACTTCATCAACGCATGCTTTCCATGTGAGTCTTTAATAAAAATGTTATCTGAAACAATGCAGGTTCCAATTTTTTTGTCGAAAATTCAATGTTCTACTCCAGGTGTTTTTAGCCTAGGATGCACGTAAAGCCCTGGGGGTACAGGATGCATTGTCAGAGGGTGAGGAGGTTGAAGGAATACCTAGAAAATCAGATTAATTAGCACCTTATTAGAGCTTTTATTGCGGAAAATATAAATTAAAATAGGGTAAGGGAAGCGATAATTTTTTTTTTAATCAATAGGGGGGGCGCAGCAAAGAGTTTATGAACCCCTGCTTTACTGTATTTAATTTTATGTTCAGATTTTGACAAACTGTTTTTTCATCCATTCTATAAAAATATAATTGCAAATTTTAATAATGATATTGAAGCATGGGTCATTCTGATCAACTGCATTGTGTTACAAAACGTAACCTAAATTATGTGTAGACACTGAATACCAAACAAAACTACACTGAGAGTTTTCATACAAAGTATAAGTATATGAAGGTACAATTGAACCTTTGCCACCTGTTAGGGTCGTAAGTTTATGCCACTTGACAAGCGGACAATGTCATGAATAACATTTTTTCAGAGTTGCAGATTCAGCAAATTATTTAATATAGAGTGGATATCTAAATTGAATTGAAATTGCAGTGCAAATTATTTTTTAAAAATATTTATGCCTCTATAAATAATACATTTGTTACTACCAGGTTGTATTCAGTCCTTCACCAACCAAACAGGCAGCCTAAAAAGTCCAAATTTCCCAAAACTGCCAGAAGATGGTGCTGTATGTTACTGGACCATTGCAGCTGGTGAACATGAGGTCATACAACTTAGGTATTGTAATCTACACCGCTACATGGATCCATCCCTACATATTGATATAACATACTTATTTGGGTATTGACATAATATGCTACGGGACTGAATGAAACCACTTCCAAAACCCATGAAAATTTAAATGTTGCACTAGCTACAACTAAAGATGCCGAAAGCCCCAAAATACGTATAGAAATAGAACATTGTATAGCACCATGGAGGGGACTGAAGTGGGAACTTAAGGGCTTAATACAACAGCGTAGCTCCATGTAAGGTTCATGAAATAAAATTTCTGTCTCCAGAATCTATAACAGTGGTTCTTAACCTGGGTTTGGTGAGTCAGTCTCAGGGGTTCGGCGGAGGTCCAAAAAAAAAATCATATTTTATTTTTCCTATTAAGAAGGGTTCGGTGAATACGCATATGAAACTGGTGGGGTTCGGTACCTCCAAAAAGGTTAAGAACCACTGATCTATAAGTTAGTGTCTCTCAAAGTTGTTTAAAATAAAATGAGTAAAACAGAGTAGGGTTAAACCTGAAAAAATAAACGCAACAAAACAGCGAACGTGTCGGCAGAAAGCCTTCGCCAAAGTTGTTTGTAGGATTGCCAAGGGGGTAGTTCTGAAAGGCATTGTGATTTAAAGGGATCCTGGGATTAACGTCGGACGTATGATAATTGAAAAGACAAATGCTCTTTGTTTTCAACAGTGGAAGTACCAGCTGCAAATAACATCCACAAATTTGCATTAGCCAGTCATTTCAACCCGATGTCACTATTAGTACCCAAGTGGTTATTGAACTTTTAATAAGTTGAATACAATCAGATAATGGAAGCCCTACCCCACAACCCCCAAAAATCAGTTTTTCCTGTTTTTTAAAGGGATTGTGAAGGAAATTTCCAGATAACTGCACAAAATAAGGTTCTTTTAAAATAATAGCTCACAAGCGAGTTTGGTGCATAATATTTTCTTTTGCTTTTCTGAAATAAATATGTAAACCCCCCCCCCCTTTTGCTTAATATTATATTTACAAAAGATTTATTTAAAAAACTTTGATGTTAGGGGTTGTTTAATTAAATGTTTTGTCTAGGACATTTCTTCATTAGTCAGTGTCTGGTGATTCATCATGATTTCTGTGTTTCAACTATTAATTCAAGCAACAAGTTACTTTTGAACACTAAGCTGAATCAAATTTATAAAATTTTGTACACACTTCTGTGTTGTATCTCTGCAAAAGATAATCAGACTATTATGTTTATATTGTATATACTTTTGTGTTGTATTTCCAAAAACCAAAGGATATCTAATCATAAGCTTGATAGTTATGCATATATTGTATACACTGAATTATGATAATAATTTTGTATCTATGCTATAATTTGGCGAGATACTTTTTTTTTTCTCTTTAGAACATGATGACAAATTGGTAAGGTAATTTTTCTATTAAAAGAAAAGGTCATTGAAGGTTTGAGGATTTGTTAATTTTGGACATTGAAGTCTGAATGAACTTAATATGTTTTGCTAGATGCTCCTATTAAAACGCTGAATGACTTTTGCACATTATACAATATTTCATTATTGACTGATAAATCTGAAAAGTCCCATAAATTTGATGAAGTAGGCCTGCTCATCATATGTGACATCTTTGATATTCTGGGCAGTTTTGTGTAATTCTAAGCCTTTCTATATTTCTTATGCCCCCTATGAAATATATACATATAGGTTTTAGCAAGAAGGAAAAATGCTTTAGGAATGTACAGGTTTTACGAAGAGATTTTAAGGAAACTCAGTAAGTATATTTTCCAAATATATAATGGAGAACTGAAATTCAAGTACAAAATGAAAGATTTTTCTAAAATATTTCATTTGTATATTTTTACATTTATTATTTAATAATTTTACAATACAACGAGAGATCACAAATACTGTGCGAGATGACTAATTTAATGAGAAACTTGCGCTTCATGCTTGCTACACAGAGATTTTATGTTAGGATCCAAATTAGATAGCTTCAGTTTCAAGTCTCCCCGCTGTAATATATCCAGTTGATTTCTTTTATATTTTAGCAGCGAATCATCCATGGCACTAAATCAACACACAGCCAAATATGAGGATGGAAACAATACCAATAGTTGTCTTGTCAAATTTGGATATTTGATTTCTGTTTCCTCACAAAAGCTATGCCATCGCTCCTTGTATATTAAATAAAGATTTAACAGACTCATCATTTGGAATTCCTACGAGTTCTTCTTGATACGGCATATTTGAAATATCAGAAAAATTCATTGGCTGCATCATTCAGTTGGCGTTTGAAAATCAATTTATTTTAAAACGCAAAATCTTTCTTCTAAATGAGGTGACAATATTTTTTAGATAAACTATAAAGAAGTATAGGGGTACAACTCACTTCACATTTTTGAAGCCAATGAAACTTTAAAAAATTTTTTTTGCAAACATATTTCTGACATACCGGTAATTCAATCAATGTAATGGAACCAAATTTATCCACTTTTGTGTCTAGAAGTTTTAGTTGCTCCTTGATATTGGTAATTTTAATGTATTTAGTTTATCAAAGATATCTGCACACATGCTTTACCATCAACTATTAAAAGGTTCTTTATTTCAGCTTTTTCAATGTAAAAATACCCAAACGTGTCAAATAGCTCCATGAATTTTTTTAAGCAGTTCTCTTTCTTCTCTTCTTCTTCTATATCTTAAGGGCCCACGATCAATTTATTGATCATTTTGGCTCCTATGCATGTAGATGGGATTTGCAATGTTTCTGTTACTGGTGTTGATGAGGAAATCATGCACTAGGGGTTTGAAGGCTTGAGGCAATAGACACAAATCTGTCTAGTGTTGTCGCCTCAACCGTTCCTTTTGAAAGATTGTTCCAGTCCCTGATTGTCTTGGGCAGGAATGAGCAGCTCCTATACTGGCTTCTTTCGAGAGCCACCTTATTTTAGTGTGAAGTTAAAGTCTCACATGATCTGCATTTTGTGCTTGAAGAGATGCTCACACTTGCTATTAGCTTTTATGGCATTGATACACTGTAGAGCTGAATTTAGTACTTCATTAAGAACAGGCGAATTATTTTTAATTACCAAATTTTCATTATGAATAATACAGTGCACAAGAAACATTTCTGGGTACTCATCCTTCATCAATTTTAAGCAGCCATTTTTATTGCCCATCATATAAGGATGCGATGCCAGGTGGCCAAGTTGTCTAAACTGAGAAAATCTCAAGTTGGTGGTCTTGAGTTCAACTCCAGCCAAAGCCCAGTCAAGCCCAAAAACATCACCAGCACCCCTGGTGGATGGGACTCGTTAACCTTGGTTGGCAACTCATTTAAGAGGAGGAAACGCTGAATTCGAAACCTGGAGATGGTTTCGACAACTCCTGCGACACCACGCTGTATCATCTAAATGGTGTTCCCTTGGGTTATCCAGCGGTGTGGAGAGAGGGGATTTGCTGTTGGGAACAAGCTTATAATCCTAGAAGAATAATCCCAGGCCTTGTAGATTTCATCCTGCGAAGTCTTCACCATCATCACATTGTGACAGACGGATGCCAGCATATTAGGAGCACCATCTGCAGCACAATATATTATATTTTTCATTTAACATCTGGGTACTTTTTTAGCTTATTATATATATATATATTTTTGGCTCTAGTGGTGCTTTCAAATGATTTAGAGAACAACATTTCTTTAGCACAATCTCCATTATCAATATATCTCACGTAAGTTATTCCTACTCTCAAAGTTGATTCATTCATTTGAACTTAGAATTTTTTTGTTCTCGGCTTTTGTATTTCAATATTTTTGCTTATTTCATCTATTCTTCTGCTAACAGTATCCACCTCCTTGTAATCTTTTTCCAAAACTGTTTTAAGAAATGCGGATATTGATAGTTGATTAATTCTCTCCTATAGTCTATAGTATCCTTTTCCCAAGATTTGGCCATGAGTAAACATATTTAAGAATTCTCCTTTTAAAATTCAAATGAAATCATAGAAGACAGTTGGTTTTCAAATTCTTGACGGCTCATTTTTAAATTGCCCCCCTAAACAATCAAATTGCCCCTCAGTGGGGCATGGGCCCCACGTTCCGTTGGGAAACACTGCTTTACATGCACTGTGTCTGTATGTATTTAAATATGATGTGCATGGATGTTTATTTGGATATATATTATATAACAAAACATTTTTGTTTTTTATTTCCACCAGTTTTTCTGTGATCAATTTTAATCAAAACTGTGGACACGATGTCATCACTATATATGATGGCAATGATACAAAGTCTCCAATTTTAGGACATTACTGCCAATCCCAGACTGCATCTATTCTTATTAAAAACCCAATCATTTCCTCGTCTAATTCGATGTTGATCACATTTGCCAATGACAGGCCTCTTGGTGCCTCCAGAGCATTTGTGGCCTCTTACGAATTCTTAGGTAAATTTGCTAAGATCAAGCTTACCAGAAGAATCTGCTTACAGTTTTTTTAATTTAATTGGCAAATGTTCTTATATTTTTAAATACCGGTACATGATTTTTCTAATATCAGTTTAAAACATTTATGGGACTGATTTTTAACCTTACGTGTAGTCGGGTAAATGAGTGTAAAGAATGTTGAAAGTTTGTGAGATATGGTAATTTATCATTTATCGACAACCTTTTTTTTGTCCCAGTAAAAACATTGATAGCAGTTTTGGTCACTGTTTTTGCAATTTATAACTCTACTGGACAGAGATAACCATTCATAATAATTGTCACCTTTTGTATACTTATTGCTCTTGACCAGATTGTCCAGATTGGACGTACACAAAGAATTGTTCAAAACCGTGTGCTTGTGTACAAGCAAATACATTAAGATGTGACAAGGAAAATGGACAGTGTCATTGTAAGCCAGGCTGGACATCTGGAAACTGCTCTGTTGACATCAATGAGTGCTCAAGTCCCTCCATATGTCGTGATTACTCAGACTGTGTCAACTTTGATGGGGGATATGAATGTAAAGCAAAGCAAGGTCTTCACTTTCTTCAATCTAACAATGCAGCTCAAGGTTTGTGCACAAGTCTTTTTACATTTCTGTGTGACTAATTTCATTTTAGAGTTTGATAAGCTACAATAAAACTATATCATTAATATTATCTTTTTTCTTTTCTTTTTGGTTTTAGCTTATAAATTCATTCTAACATTAGGTTTTTTTGCATGTTTTGCAAAGACATTGAACCTAGTCACGGGTATTTTAAAGGAGATTGAATTTTTCTTTATCAAAAAAATTTTTTCAACTTTGTTTTTGGTTCTATTTCTTGCCCAATCTCTGGATAAATAGTTAGAAAAAAAACATTACTCTGAACTCTAGATTGTGTTAAAACCAGTAGCCAGCCACACAAAAAAAATTTTTCATTTTAAGGTTTCCATTCACAAAACAAATTCATCCAGAAGTAATATGCCTCCACCTTTCTCCACCATCAAAAGTTTTCTTGAGTTATCTTATTTGTGTATATGTTACATAGTTTTAATTATTTCTTAAAACCTAACTGTTTCTTATGTATTTAGTTGAGCCTGGTGCTGAATGTACCCAAAGGTCCTGTTCACATCTCTGTGCTAAAGTTACCAAAGACAACAAGACTGCAGAGCAGTGTTACTGTCCTAGTGGGACCATGTTGGTTGGGGATACTTGCCAAGGTGATCACTAAGTTATTATTTTACTATTTATATATTTCTCTGTCATAACTGTAAAATTAAAACAAAAAATTTATGAAACTGTAGATGTCTGAAATTGAAATGAGTTTATGCGTGAATATTGATGGAAAACTTACATGTGTAAGCATTAATTTGTTTTTAAAAGAATTGTTAAGGTAAAAGAAATAAGGCTTTTTAATTTTGGGACAATTATTGAAAAGAAAATCTTTGTTTACTTGCATTAAATTATGCAGTTATCTTGCTTTTTTTTTTTTTAAATTAATTTTTTAAAATGTTTGTAATGCAGTTAAGGATTTACATAAATTGAAAACTGTGATCAGTACTGAATATATAAGCACTTGATCATAGTAATATCTAAGAGAATGACAATTTTTGCCAAATTTAAGTACTCATTTTTAATAGAAGAAATATAATCTCAAAATGAAAAAAAAAATGACTGTATAATGTTATTATGCTTTAATTTAACAGCGCAACAAATTGTTACTGCTAATTTCTAACTTAGGAAAATGCACGACTTTCCAAATTTAAAGAAAGAAGTTTGCATTTAAAGTCTGTTGTTTGTTTGGTGCTGGTGATTTCTGTGATTTCGATCTTATGTTCACATCAGTTTTACCTCTTCACATATTGCTCTTGCCAGCCTGTACCAACCTGACCTATGGACCTGAGTGTGCCTTCTCTTGCCCATGTGTGATACCTAACACAGCCAGCTGTGATGCCAGAACTGGAGCTTGCCACTGTCAAAGTGGCTGGGTAAACTCTGACTGTTCTGAAGATTATGATGATTGTTATAGAGCCTTCTGTAGGAGTAATACCTATTGTGTCGATTTTCTAGGAAGGTATGAATGCCAATGTTACTCTGGATACGAGGAAATGGGTAATGCCTGTATATATAAAGGTGAGTTTTTAATCATTCCAATTATGTGATTTACCTTACACCAAAGTTAATTTAACATACGCATAGCCATGAAATAACATACAGCTTCGCATAAATATGTTCAAATGAGTTATAAGATAGCTTGCAGTTTGAGAAAAGTTTTGAGCTTTAATAACTTTAAAAGGAACACAAAACTGTGGGGATCTATTTCGGGGAAAAGATATTATAATAGAAAAGAAACTATATACAGTAATAAATTTCAGGCTCGAAAATGTCACTTAAAATATGAGCCAAATGTTAAATTGAAATAAAATAGTTAATTTAACATACTTTGTAATTATTTTATGACAGCTAACAAATGTGTATTTCATGATATAAGTCCTGTTTTAAAAAGTAAAGCTCTTAACATTTAAAGAAAATGTTTTTAAAGAAATTTGATCATACACTTGACAGTTGCACAAATAAATTATTTAAGAGATTAAGATATGCGTCTCATTCATTGCAGGTTGTGAAAAAAATTTATCGGATCCAACTGGAGTTATCCTAAGCCCAGGCTACCCACATTCTTATGTGAATAATGCAAGGTGTTACTGGCACATTACAGTTGGTCAAGGAAAAGTGATTGAGCTGAAGTAAATCCCTGTTAGCTTTTTAATCAGATATAGCTTGAGATCGATTAAGCTGAAGTCACAAATTTGTGACATGGGAAGGAGGATTGTTGAAAATCAGCCAAAATAGTATCATATCATTTGTTGATGGCCCCCTAAACCGTTAACCCCATTCCTTAAGATACAACTTGGTTTTAAATTTTCTTTATTAATTCGAGGGCATTTATCAAGTTTGTAATGTATCAATATAAACTTATTTACAAGGCACTTTTTAATGCTTGTTTTTTAGTTTTTTGTCTTTAGTCTTAATAGAGACTTTCCCCTAAAAATTAAAGTCACAATTAAATATAGCTGTGAAATACAGAACTATAGAACTATAGTAAGCCAAACTTTTTTTATTATTTGAGACCCCTCCCACCTTTTCCCACTTCCCTCCAAAGTGCAAGTTTTTCTATAACATCATTGCACTAATTCCTGAACCCTAATCATTTTGAAAAGGCTTTAAATAACACAAGCGCTAACTATATTTCATCCTGCCATTGTATTGTTTTTCATTTACAGCATTACAAGATTCGATGTTCCTGAATGTGATAATGATCATTTGGATATTTATGATGGAAACAGCTCCAGTGCTCCTAAGCTCATACAACTGTGTCGTAACTTTAACAGTAAAGTCCTCGTCTCATCATCTAACTCTATGTACCTCACATTTACGTCTGATTACTCTGTGAGTGGGATGGGCTTTCATATCTCCTACAAGTCCTATGGTAAAAAATATTTATCCTAATAAAAAATATGTAGAAAGAATTTTTTTTTTTTTTTTAAACTTAATAATTAGTGGATCGTTATATTTAGTATATTTATGTCATATAATAATATTTTTAAAATGTCATTGTATTGTAGGTGGGAAGCTGACTGGGGTAAAGAGAATTTTAAGGGTGGGGAGGACCTTGTTTAAAAAGAAATTTGTATTGAGAGCGTAACGTCTTATTCTTTGATGTTGCTATTTACTTATAGCAACAAAAATAACACATTTTTTTTTCAAAATCAAGATTGCTATCATCAATCTGCTGAATTATTATAAAACTAGTTACAGGTGTTAGTGTTCTTTTAATTTTTTTAAATAATTAAAGATATTTAATACTACTATCAATGACTAGCATTAGTGATTATTCCTATTTATTACTATGGCAGGGCTTGTTTAATATGTGTACACTTTCTAAAACTGAAAACGGGCATTATCTTCCTCATTGTATAAGTAGATGCCATTTTGAGTCGATGTAAGTTGTAAGTGCGAATCGTGGGCTATATAAAGGCTATTTCGTATTATATTCTTTTTTGTTTTTATTTCACTCTAGCTGGAAACTTCCTATTAACATTTTATATCCACGTAGCGCTTGGATTTTTAAAATAAAAACTTCTATTCTCATAACATTTTTTTTGTTGTCTAGTGCGATGAATTAAAACATAAAATAGACTTAAAAGACTTTCTATCAAAAACAAGTTTACAAATGTAGAAAGTAATTTTAAATTTCTTAAAAATGAATGACCCAAAGAAAGTCTGTGCAGAAGTAAAGATGAGCACTTTGAGTGGTGAAAGTGAAAGATTTCAAAATGAATGTAGACAAAACCTACATATGGTTAGTGTCTAATTATTGTTTTACTCTATTTGAATTTTTGTACAGTTTTTGATCCCAAAGAGAGGTGTGTATGTACATGAAACTTTTTTGTTAAAAAACCCTGTTGAAAACAATATAAATTGAATATTCTATAGGTGTTGTCATTTTTAAATATCATCTATTCAATGTATTATTTCAGAGTGTCCAGATTGGACCTATCCATATAACTGCACAATCCCTTGCAACTGTGTGATAAACAATACAAAATACTGTGACAGGAAAAGTGGCCAATGTGTTTGTGAAGAAGGCTGGACCTCTGATGACTGTTCACGGGACATTGATGAGTGCTACCATAATCCTAAAGCCTGTCCAGATTACTCAACTTGTAACAACTTTGCTGGTGGCCACGAGTGTCTTTGCTATGATGGACTTGAAAGAATCACCAATACCTCATGCCAAGGTTTGTTTCAACAACAGTTAAAGGGTTAAACTTAAATGAAAATTAAAGGCTGTTGGTTAATTTCATGAGCATTTTACTCTTGTATTCCATACAAATTACAAGTAAGATTAAGGGTGGGGGTGGTGCGGTAGGCCACAATCTTTTATCTCTTTGCTCCCTCACTGTTGCTGCCTATGATTTGCTACTACTAGAGCTAATGGCCCAACATATTCTCTGCATTACCCATGCATTAGTTGGTGCTCATCAGTTCCTTAGCACAAACAATATTAACAGCCTTTTTGCTTATTAGGGTTTTGGTGAAGCTGATGATGTACTCACTATATTATCTATATTCTATATTTAATCCAAGTATAGCATAATAATGAGATTGAGAGATCTTGACTTATTTTTTACATGACTCTGATAAAATTAAAGAGTGGCTTATAAACACTGGGTCACACCCAATGGGGCTTTGTTTAATCATGGAAATACAGTCAAGAAAGAAAGACAAAAACTTTCATGAAGGTGCCCATGTAGACTGATTTAGATAGTGGAGGGCATATTCCAGATGTTCTCAGAATGCTTTAGACCAGGACTGCACAACTCAAAATGTAAGGCGGGCCTTAATACTTAATGAAAAACTTGTGCTGGCCAAAAGAAAATAAGATAGGACTTGTGTGGGCCAAAAGAAAATAGGAAAAAGGGAAAGCTGTTGAGAAAATAATAAGAGAAAAGAATATTTCGATACTTGACGGGACACAAAGTGGGTGCTGGCGGGCTGCATGTGGCCCGCGGGCCGTATGTTGTGCAGGTCTGCTTTATACAAGGGAAAATTGGGTTAAACTTGGGCAGTTACTATTGCTCTGCAGGAGTGGTTTTATATTCATAATCGCTGCTACTAAACCTCCACAAAAATGTCTTTTTTGTGTGTGGGAAATAATAATTTGTAAATACTTTATTGTGTTGTGATAACCATGGCTTATTTTTTCATATTTACAAAATTTTAAAGGTCCAAGCTCTAGTATTGCAATATTTGTGGCCTTATAAAATGTATCTGTAGCTTGGTGTGTTTCAGTTGAACCCCAGAGGAACTGTACAGAGAGAAGTTGCTCCCATGTGTGTGCTAAAGTCATGACTGACAACCAGACATTTGTTGAGACGTGTTACTGTCCTATTGGGACTGTGCTGGACGGGGATACATGCCAGCGTAAGAGTCTTGTTACTGTCCTATTGGGATTTGTTACTGTCCTATTGGGACTTGTTACTTTCCTATTGGGACTTGTTACTGTCCTATTGGGACTTGTTATTCCTATTGAGACTTGTTACTTTCCTATCGGAACTTTGTTACAATGCTATTGGGACTGCGCTTGCTTGGGATATATGTCAGCATAAGAGACGTGTTACTGTCCTATTTGGACATAAGATTGTCCTGTTGAGACTTGTTTCTGTTTTATTGGGACCACGCTGGATTGAGATAGATGTCAGCTTAAGAGATTTGTTACTCTCCTATTGGGACTTCTTACTTCCCTATTGGGACTTGTAACTGCACTATTGGGACTTTCTCTATCCTATTGAGACTTGTTATTATCCTATTGGGACTGTCCTGGTGGGGACATATGTCAACATAGGGTAATTGGTTTGTTAAGTTATCAGTTAAAAATGTCAAAAATTTGTTTTGAAACATTTTTATTCTAGATGAAAGAGAGCCTTTTAACGTTATGATGATGGCTGATGATTTAATGGTTAATTACGGCAAAGCTCATTATTTAATACTAGAATAAATGACCCGATGTTATTGGGATAATAATGCTAGATACTTTGCGATAATTTCTAACTGCTATTGCAAAAACTCGTCACCATTCATAACTTTAAAAATGTAATGATATTTACGTTTCTAACATCAAGTTTTGAGAAGTATTTATCTGCTATATATTATAGGCCTACCCTACTCCCTTTCGCTCATTATCTACTTTTTTCTCCATCTAAAGATTACTTTAAATAACACAGTCTAAATTATCACTAATTATATCACTTTTGTCACTAAAGAAGTAAATTGAGGGATATTTTCCTATGTTAGAGAAATACTTTAGATTTACCCCTTTTCCTGCCCTTGAATTACAACTTTTTTTCTCTAAAAATTGTTTAAAAAACTTACCTTATATATACAACAAAAACTCTATATATGATATACATATATTTTATATTAAATGATTTAGATATATTAATATCTTTATCAAAAATTTAAACACATTTTTGCCGTTTTTACAAAAATTATATATTATCAGAAAATCGTAAAACAAAGAATTCTTTTATCTAAAGAAGAATTGCGCAACCGTTTTTCACATGTATAACAGATTTGAGTGTTGTTTTTTTAATTTAAATGGTTAATCTCATAAAATACACATCTCTTTACTTTTTGCAAAGTAAAAACAAAAATATATTTTTTGTAAGTAAATATTAACCCATCTCTGTTTTTAAAAATTATTTTTTCAAGTGTGTAAAATGATTGGGTTTTAATATTCATGGGTATACTTAAATAATTGTAACCAAGACTTGTTAACGCCATTGATTTTCTTAATCAGTAAACATATGTTTATTTGTAAAAAGAGAATCTAACATCTCTTTTTTTACATATGTAATACCATAGGAGTTAATTATGTTGTCATCCACGTAAAAATGTACACATCTTATTTCCTAACTCCGACATGTATTTACCCAAGAAAATTAATTATTTATCAAAAGCATTCCTTTATTTTGAGAAGTATCTTGTGCTGCCTTGGGCAAAATGAACATACCCATATTTGTAAAAAGAGAATGTAACATGTCTTTTTCACAAATGTAATACGATAGGAGTTAACTATATTGTCATCCACGTGAAAATTTACACATCTTATTTCCTAACTCCGACATGTATTTACCCAAGAAAATTAATTATTTATCAAAATCATTCCTTTATTTTGAGATGTATCTTGTGCTGCCTTGGGCAAAATGAACATACCCATTTTTGTAAAAAGAGAATTTAACATGTCTTTTTCACAAATGTAATACGATAGGAGTTAACTATATTGTCATCCACGTGAAAATTTACACATCCTATTTCCTACCCCGACATGTATTTACCCAAGAAAATTAATTATTTATCAAAATCATTCCTTTATTTTGAGATGTATCTTGTGCTGCCTTGAGCAAAATGAACATACACATATTTGTAAAAAGAGAATGTAACATCTCTTTTTTCCCAAATGTAATACCATAGGATATAAATATATTGTCATCCACGTGAAAATGTACACATCCTATTTCCTACCTTCCGAAATGTGTGTTCCCAAGGAGGTTAATTATTTTATCAAAATCATTCCTTTATTTAGAGACGTATCTTTTGCTGCCTGGGGCAAAGTAACCAGCACCTCCCCCACCCAGATTTAAATAAATTTAGAAAAATCTTCCACCGGATTGTAGTCCTTTCCATACCCAAACTGAAATAATTTGCACTTCATATGGTTTGTCTTTTTTTGCTTTAGTTATAAGTAGATTAGTCAATGCTATTTGGCTATGGAGTTGCGCTGCACTGTATGTCTTAAACCGCATTTCTTATTAGAATTAGATTTAAAGGTTAGTTTTTATTACATTATGATTTTAATAAAGGTATATTTTTTGGAGAAAAAAAATGGCAAAAACTTTTGAAATGTTAAAATATACACAGCTGAAATGTGTGTGTGTTTTATTAACAATTTAAAAAGCAATCAATTACATTTATTAATTTTACTTTGAAGAAGGGAAAATACATTATCAGTTTTGTCAAGCATGGTTATTAAATTTAAAGAAACCTAAGAGTTTTGGAGAAATAGGCTATTGGCAGTATGACTCACTTGCATGATTATTAAGAACAAATTAATTTAAAATTGTATTCTGCAATATTAACAATGCACTAAAAGATGCACTAAAAATTACTGATGTTTGTGTTTTCCAAATAAATGTGATTAGGTGTAATTCTTTGATCATGATTTTTTAATTTTAAAAATTTTTTCATAACTCTTAAACACATACAAAATGCTGAAAATAGTTCCTTAGTTGATACTTTAGATGTATTTGTAATTTATAATAATAATACTTAAACGTTTACTAAAATAAAAGCGAATTTAAAATATTTTTTGTGCATTTAAATTTATTCGATTTCTGTTAAATAATATAAAAATAACTATGATTGGTTTTAGGAATCCGAAGTACTTAAATCTTTTCTGTTCTTTGGAGTTACGTCAGTATAGCTCATTCTTATAGATATTTCAATAAAAATAAAACAAAATAAAAAATTATTAATTTAAGAAGAATAAAAGACTTTTACTTTTATGTCTCTGTTGGATTTTTTAACCTTCCTATTCATGGGCGCCCGCAGAAAACTTTCTGGGGGGGATGTTTTAATGTAGTTTTAATTTACTGTAGCGTATTTGTATGGTGAACGAACAGACAGGACATCAGCTTAGTTACTTTCTCTTTATGTTCTCTTTACTTTAATAAAATTTTTTTGGGGGGGGGGGCAAGCGCCTGTGGGCGCCCATGTTCCTATTACTTTGTATTTTTAGATGTAGATCCTTCACTCACTTATATTATATATCCTTCATTGACTATAAATCCTTCGCTCACTTAAAGATCCTTTATTGACTATAGATCCTTCACTGACTATAGATCCTTCACTGACTATATATCCTTCAATGACTATATCCTTCACTGAATATAGATCCTTCACTGACTATAGATCCTGATGGTTTAAGTTCTAGATAAAAAAAATGCTCCAAGCACCAGGATTTATTTACTTTTTGAACAAAAATGTAAATCTCAGATTGCCCTAATCTGACCTATGGCCAAGACTGCAGTCTGACTTGCAAATGCAATGAGAATACCACAAGCTCTTGTAATGGTCTCACTGGCGATTGCTACTGCAAAGAGGGCTGGTCATCGAGTGACTGCTCTCTTGACATCGATGAGTGCTACTCAACATGCAGACGTTCCCATATGCTATGCCGCAATACACCAGGAAGCTATGAGTGTACATGCTCACATGGATATGTCTTTAATGCTGCTTGGGACTGTGTCTATGATGGTAAAATTGTGTGTTTTTATTTATATATCATGACAGGATTTGAAACTTGAAAATAATAACATCTAGACTTATTGAAAAATGTTTTAAAAAGTGAATTAGCTCTACCTAAGTGACTAGAATTAAAAGCATGTTCAGTTAACCAATGGTAAAAAATGTGGGAATAAAATAGTGACTTTGGGACAATTGTTCACTGATTTCAAAACATGTTACTCAGATGGAGTTCCATGTTGGTGAAAAAGCAGTTCTTTTAAAACTAGAATGGGAGTTAGTGTTCTAAATAGATCTAAATGAATGTAAGTCTGTGCATAATAATTTTTTTTTTTCCCTCTGTTGTGTATGTTTAACTACGAAAAGATTTTTTCCATATAATTGCAGGATGCCAAAGGAATTTGACAAAACAGGAGGGATATTTTGAAAGCCCCAAGTATCCTGTTGGTTATGACAACAATGACCATTGCTCATACAAAATAACAGTTGCGCAAGGACTCGTCATTTCTCTCAAGTAATTCTGTCCATATGTTCTTCTCAAGATTTTACATTCAAACTCTGGCATTAATCAATGTAGCTAGAATATCTTGAACAGATATGTCATGATTTTTTAAAATTTCACGATAAGTTTGCTAATATTTTTATGTGAAGCGCGGTGAGCCTCGCCCTATTAAACGCAATATAAGACCACTTTAATAATAATAATAAAAATATTAATATTTGTTAGTAAACAAAAACATAAAAATTATAAATGAAGCATGCTGAAAGTGTGTTTTGATGCAAACACAACAAAGTTCTACTTACTCACATACGCCTTTTACCCTGCCTGGGGCATCATCATAGACTGTCTGTAGATCTACTATAAATGACTAATTGTCAAAAAATTGATGTTATTTAGCAATTTTCTCCTTCTTTTAATTTGTTAAAGCAGATAAACCAGTCTGTTTTATCGGCTACACATCAGCCAGTATGTCTTATCAGCTACACATCAGCCAGTCTGTCTTATCAGCTACACATCAGCCAGTCTGTCTTATCAGCTAAACATCAGCCAGTCTGTCTAATCAGCTACACCTCAGCCAGTCTGTCTTATCAGCTACACATCAGCCAGTCTGTCTTATCTGCTACACATCAGCCAGTCTGTCTTATCAGCTACACATCAGCCAAAAACTTATCTGAAGTAACTTATTATTTTTCCTCTGCTAGCAAAACTTAACACAGGCTATCCCAAAAAAATTTTAACAAACATTGTTTTTGTTTGAAGTTTTAAGTTCCCTTGAGACTTTTCACTTCACAGTTAGTGCAGGACTATTTATTTTTCAATTTGTTGATGAAATGATGGAAAACAAAATATTGTAGCTATTGCTCTACTGCTACATTCCCTTTTATTTTGAGGCCTAAGCAATAATTGGATATCTATTGATTATATAATGTATTGAATTCATTCAACTTAAACAGAGCACCACATCAGCTTTGTTTTGTTCTCATGACCCCACAAACCATTCTTTATTGTGGGTTCATAAATAGTAAGCTTTTTTAAAATAGATATATTTTGTAGCCAAACCTTTTTTTTAAATGTATGTTTCATTTTGTTTTTATATTTGAATTTGTCTCTTAGTTTTCATGAACTTGATGTGGAAAGTTACCCGAAGTGCACACATGATTACATAGCAATATATGATGGCCTCACTACGATGGACGCTTTAATTGGTCGTTATTGTGGTTATTTGAAGCCTGGGATCATCCGAAGCTCAAGAAATAAAATGCTTATTGAATTCATATCTGATCGATTTTACACAGAACATGGATTTTATGCTGATTACATCGGTCATGGTAAGGTTTATAGTTTATATAAACTGTAAATATAATGCTTTATGTGCTAAAATACATTTAATTCAATTTTTTAAAATTAATTGTACCAAATATTTTTTTTATTTAGTTTTCATCTAATAATAAGTATTGAGAAATTAATCAGCTCTTGCTGACAGCTTAAATTAAAGTTTAAAAATATAAGACTTAATACTTTCCTACTACAGCCTGCTCTAACTTTACCTATGGGGAGACATGCTCCAATGCTTGTATCTGTAACCAGAACAACAGCTTGTTCTGTGATAACCTCAGTGGTGTTTGTGTGTGCAAAGATGGATGGATGGGGCTCAGCTGTACAGAAGATGTGGATGAGTGCCAAGTGCATTCCTCCTCTTTCTGCACCAGCCATTCAAACTGTGTCAACAGAATAGGAGGCTATGAGTGCATTTGCCAAATTGGTTTTGTTAAAAATGCAACTGGACATTGCCATGGTGATTTTTTTTAATACAAATTATGAAAGATATAGTTTTATTAAAAAAATTTTTTAAATACAAGTTTTGAAATATTTTTTTTATAATTTATGTTATAAATTCATTAAAAACTGATGTGATACAGATTAGCCGAGGGATAGAACTAAAGTTTGATTTTTTTTTTTTTAATTATATGTCAAGACATGGAAAATAATGATTAAATTAATATTATTCTTTACTTTCTAACTCAAAACAAATTACTAAACACTTTGAAAACAAGATTAATTATTATTTAAATTTTTTTATTTGAAATGGAAAATGGCATTAACATAAAAAATGATTAAAATTGATTGCAAATATTAATTAAAATGCCATCTTTAAGAAGAAAAAATTGGTGCTGACAGTGGGCCATGTAGACATCTTGTTTCATTTAATCAAAATGTATCATTATTTGTAAACAGTTAATTCTTAAGATATTTTAAAAGTCAAGATTTTTAGAAATAGCTAAGAATAGAAAATAGTAGACTCAAAGATTACCATTTATAATTATAGAATAATTTTCATAAGCGTATCAATTAATAATACCTATGAAATATAAACACAAAATGTGACCTATTTCAGTGCAGACGAAGATCACTTTTTATTGAGAAAGCTTCATAATTCAAAATTCTTTTTTCTAAATTCATATCTAAAAAATTTTTTAAATCTTGTAGAACTTTCAGAATATCCATTAAAGCATCGTAAATTAATATGTTAAAAGCCATTATATTTTTTTTATGTTTTGCGAAATTTAGAGTGCAAAGAAGGAAGATATGGAGACGAATGTTTAAACGTGTGTCAATGTAGCAGAGAGTTCACAGTCAGTTGTAATAATGTAGATGGCACTTGTGCCTGCAAAAATGGCTGGAAAGGTTCTGACTGTTCTGTAGACATAGACGAGTGTAGTGAGAAGCTTGTGACATGCCCAAGACATACCACATGCATCAATACTTTGGGGGCTTATTTTTGTGGGTGTCTTCAAGGATTTGTGCAAAATAACTTGACCGGAATTTGTGAAGGTGACTTAAGAAATTAATTAATAATTTTAAAAGTTGTTAAAATGCAACACACATTATTTGTAATCAAATTAGGAATTAAATCGCTGAATAAAATAAATTATACGTCTATATTAAGGATACTAAACATAGTGATCTGAAAGGTTTATTTACAGAAACAATTACTAATTGATATACCTTTAGATTACATCATCCCTCTTACTCCCAGTAAGGTGTATTATAACCCATCGGCCATAGGTCAATTTCAACATTAACATCTTTAACTCACTTAATTGTTTATTCCATAGAACTTTTTTTTTTTACATAAGTATATCATATCAGATAAGTTTTAAGTTAGATATTTATAAATTGGCTTCTCTATTAGATTTTTTATGCCATTGAAAAAACTTATTCCATAAATCAATAAATTCTTCTTGCTTAATTAACCAGATATTGATGAATGTATCAATGAAGAGAGCCCATCTTGTGAACACATCTGTATTAACACCGAGGGTGGGTTCAGGTGTTCCTGTGTCCCTGGCTACCAGATTGATCTGAAAGATGTCACTAGATGTACTGGTGAGTTTCATAAGGCTAACAAGGAAATGTGAGGAAACAGATCTCATGGTTATTTCAGCTTTGAACTGGAGCTGGGGTAGTATCAGATTTGTATCAACAACTGTGGCTCACTGTGACAATCTATACATAAGTGTCTGCATGCATCTTTTCTTATTCACTAGAGAATAAATCTCTGGGCATTTTTCAGCCACCAGAAACTGGAAAGGTCTGAACCTCTCAATGGGTTGTAGAGGATTTGGTTAATGGCCTAAACTCACCACCTTTCTCACCTCAAGGGACAAGCAGTAATCTTTTAAGAGAGGTGACTGGTTGCCTCTGTCAATGAAATTTTTCTTTTTTAAAATATCCATGCTCTCTACCTGTGTATGATCACATACTTGGATTCTATGAAATTTAAAACTGAAAAGTGGTGGTCACAAAATATATTTAATTACTCAGATTTATATATTACAGCAGGAGTAGAGAATGTACTCAAGTGCTCGTCATGTAAAGTATTATTACTTAAGCAAAAATGAATGCTCAAAGCATAAGTAGAAATAAATGCTCAAAGCATAATAGAAATAAATGCTCAAAGCGTGCTACTGTGTTTGCAATTGTTTCAGAATGCGAAGATGGTAAGTTTGGAAAGCAGTGCCTCCAGACCTGCCAGTGTAACTCGGAGAACACATTTTACTGTAAGAAGTCTGATGGGACTTGTCTGTGTAAACCTGGCTGGTCAGGCACACATTGCTCAGATGGGAAAGATTCCCCGCTTATAGGTCAGTAGTCCAGATTTAGCTTGTACACATCTTGTTTAACGAGACCACCATTGCAGTAATTGTCATTTTTTAAAATTGTAATGGGAAGAGAAATTAACAATAATGTAGCAACTTTAAAGCCAATACTATTTTCATTATCTGCAAACAATTAATATCATCTTAAAGTATATAAAAATTTAATAATTGGCTCTCGTGTAAATAAATATTCAGAAATGCCTTTTTATAGCATGAAGTATACATTAAAAATGTGTATGTATATATAAGTGCTTGGTTATTGAACGGCAATGATAAGACATAAATGATTACCATGTTTCATGCTTTACTTCTATCGACAGGATGATGATGTACAATGCACAGAAGTCGAAAATATGCTCCTAATTAAGTTTTTCTTTCTTTAATAGTAACATATATTGTGACATCCATCATGGATCTTACCTGCTATGCATTCCTTTTTTAATAATGAAAATAAAATATTTTTTTAATATTTAAATTTAATACTTTAATTATTATATTTGTGTTTGGTAATGTCCACCTGTATTCCATTGTGTTTTGAAATAGCTTAAACTTTTTAACTTATTAACTTTCTGTCACTAGTATTATCTCTTGCATGATTTTGTGTTAGGCTGTAAATAGCAGGTGCTGCTCAGCATGTTGATAGGCATTCATGGTTGTATACTGCACTTCCATCACAATTTTTAGAGAATAGAGCATGTGTGAAAGGTTTGTATTTTTTAAAAACAAATAAATAAAGAAGAAAAAAAAGAATATCCATGCTTCATTAGTAATTCTTTATTTTCAAAATGTCTATCTCAAAATATCTAAAATTAGATCTACACAACTTGAAAACTTAAATACAAAAAATTTAAGTCTCAGAATCCTTTTAAAATTGGTATACTTAACATTATGGGGAACTGATCACTCCAACATTATAAGTATCTATTTATATTAAACCACAAACTTAGAAAAGCCCCCAAAACTTAGAGGCATAACAAAATAAAAAATTGGATTTTTTAAAAAAATTCAAACCTCCTGTAACTTTTATATCATAAAAATAAATAGTAGAAAAACACTGAAATGTTATTTTAACTGTATTGCAGCTTTTAGTTTTAAGAAAGTTAAAAAAAAATAATTAAATATCATTCATTGGACAAATTAAAAATACAGTAATATATAAGCTTCACTGGGTCAAGTTTCATTTTTTTTAAAATGGTCTTAAATAGAACATAATTTACTGAGTCAGTTAAATTTGAAACTTTATTCTGAAAAATACAAAATTAAATGTAGACTGATAATTTTTTTGTACCAATAAGATCTGATATTTATTGTACATGTGTTGTGATCTTTGGCCAACAATGATAGATTCATGAAAATAGCAAAAATAAAGTTGATAATATAAGCAATTGCTGTTGTAAATTTTCAGGAACAATCACCAGGAGAAGGTCTCTGGTTCATGCTCAGCAGTTTTGATATTTCATATTCAGCAGTTGCAATAAAACTTAAGAAATGTACAATATGGGAAAACAGAAAAAAATTCCTTTAACATTTAAAATATATTAGGTGCCTACTTTATAAACATATAATAAAAATTTTGGAACCATGTTCATTGATATTTTTAGATGTCATTTACAGGTGCACCACACCTAATCATGTCACTGGGCAAAATATCGTAAGGAATTGTGATACAAAACATAAAACAGCATTTTAAATAAATTTCTTTAGGGTTGTAAAACAATTTTTGAAAATATCACAGATAATTGTAAGAATATTTTTCAACAAAGCAACAGGTCTTGTAATACGTTTAATTAAAACATGAGCATTTACTTTACTGGTTAATAAACATAAATTCAAACCAAAACCGTACCGGTACTCAAAAAAAGGTCAAAATAAAATGATTTAAATAAAAATATTTTTTTTTAGTAAATACTCATTTGGATGTTGTGAATTGTCTGTTATATTTCCTCATTTATTTGCCTTATACTTTGGAGTAATCCAATATTTTTAGTGGAATTCCTACCATTCTTTCTCATTTTAATGTAAGGCAGATCTGGAAAAAGGAAGCAAATAATATTTTTATAAATAAAAAAAAAAATTTTTTTAAAGTTAATTTGCTAAACTTTTATAATCAATCATCAATTTAACAAGCTGAAACAGTGGAGACAAAAGAAAAACATTTACGCTAAGTAAATAAATCAGTCTAAAGTGTCATACCCAAAAGTCAAATATAGTGCCTCACTTTATCATAAAGGCCCATTCATAGAGGATGTCACAGTATTTGGGCTACATGTGGAACCCCCCCCCCCCACACCACTCCCATCAAGACAAATTTGTCACATTATTTAGACACTGTAACAATACATCATTAAAAATTTGTGCTCCCCTCCCTCCCCAGATGCATCATGTGATCATATAGATGGCCCCTAAGATAAGATAAGTATTTTAATTTAGTTATAAAATAATCTCCTTCCCCCAAAAAATAAATAGACATTGTTAAAACATTACTCCCTTGCAGCACTGATAGAGATTCTTTATAGAAAGCTGGGGTAATCATAATCATTAGAATATCAATAACCCCATCTTATTATTACACATTGTTTCTTGAGACCAAAAATATTCATAATTGTAAGCAAAAGCTTTAGCAAAACAGTAGTGAGACGAAGGCCATAATAATTCGACACCCACCATTGACACAATACAAGATGATTAGTATTTGCCCTTCTTCTTGTTTTTGTCATGCTTTGAGGCTGATGATGATGAATCAGAAGATGAAGTTGAGTCTTTACGATGGCGGTTATTCTTCTGGTGGCCATCAGTTATAGCTTGCTGCTGGTAATGGCCTTGCTGCTGGTACTGGCCTTGCTGCATGTATGGGGCTGGTTGCACATATGCGACTGGCTGCATGTATGGGGCTTGCATGTATGGGACTGGCTGTACGTAAGGGGCTTGCATGTACGGGCCTGGTGCACCTAGTAAGATAATAGTTAACAAAATATTTACAAAATGTGAAAAAACTGTCTTTGGTGGGTCAATTCCATACTTATCAACATCTAATTACATATATCATATAGCAAGTTTCTCAAGAGGTACATCTGTAAGTTTTACTGCAAATCTGAACCAGCAATTTGTACAGGTTACTATTGTTAAAAAACTGATTGAGTTGAAACAAGTGGAAAGAAAAGATCGGTCTGCAGAAAGGTATTGTCCATAAGGTACCTCAGTCACCCTCAGGAAGAGTTACAGAAAGTTTGATAGTTTGTGACAAGGGAAAAAAAGTGTGTGTGGGGGGGGGTGTGGTCATATGTGACTGGGCGAGGATATCATATGTGATGTTAATCATTTAATAACATATATGTTTTATCAGACTTATAAAAGCTGAAATTGACAGTGATGTTTAACTTTCTGTTGTTTTGGATGTAGGCTATTTTTGACAGAAGATGTCACTTAGTACTGGTAGTGTCTAGTTTTTTCAAAAGTGTTTTAGATTGAATTTTAATTAATTGTTAAAAAATTTTTGTTACTTTAGGAGTGTGATTTATTTTAAAGATTTGTGACGGGGGGAAGGGGGGGGGGTAAAAATTGTCACAAAAAACTTGGCGTACTTTATCATACTTTATGTATGGAAAGCCCCAAACCACAACAAAGTTCAATTATAATTACAATGCTAAAGAAACAGTGTTACTGCTTCTAGAAGAGAGAAACAGACTAGTTAGTTTAAAAGTCTCCTTCAGTATACAAAACATACAAAAAAAAGAATATAATAAATGAGAATGAAAAATACTAATAATTGCTATAAAATAATGAAAACAAAAACAACAGAAAATAATATATAAATTTAAATAATATAAATTGAAAATAAATCTTTCAGTTGAAGGCTATCTTTAGTTTTTACAGTCAAAGTAATTGATGTGTCTTCAGTTCAAACAATGGCATTCGTTAGTGTGGAGATGGAAATAGTCCTGTTTTGAGAGCTTTGGGATCAAGCCAACCAAAGCCATTGTAGTAATATTAAGAAGTGTGGTAATATATTATTTTGTTACCCGTAATTTAATGACTGGCTAAGAAGAATGGGGGGGGGGGCTGCTTGCCTGGGGGGGGGCTGTTTGCCTTGGGTCGGGGCCTTTTTGGGAACAGCATTTTTGTGTGAACTGCACATATATTTATTTAGATATATAGTTGCTGATGCAGGTCGTAACTAGGGCTAGTGCCACCCCAGGTGAGATAAGAAATTTGCCACCCCCTGCGCCAGGGTAAAGTATGTAGTTGGCCGAAAATTATACCACTTCATATGAAAGAAAAAGGTGCAGCCCGGGGCGGACTGCCTCTTCCATACCCCGCTTCCTACAACACTGTGATGATCTGTAGTAGTAGTGTAGTGTAGTGTGTATGTTTGGTCAAGCGGGATTTCACGCGTGAAATGTAGCAAATTCAAGGAAGGAACCAGGCGCCAAAAACCAGTGGCTTAGCGAGGGTGTTTGGCGCCCGGGGACAAGATTCGCGCCCGGGGACAATATACATTTTAAAGCGCCCCCTTTTATTTTTTCAACTCTCAAACCCATTATTTTTACCAATAATATAATATCAAAGCACATTTTAGCGCCCCTAACTAGCTTGCGCCGGGGACATCTGTCCCCCCTGCCCCCCCTCGCTACGCCTCTGCCAAAAACTGTCGCGATTGCACTGCATTTTAATGTGATATTAATGAGAATATTTGGACTCGTCTGTGTAAAAAAAAAATCAGGAATACTATTATATTAGACCATCTTACCTCCAGCAATGGTGTAGACATTTACGACATTTGTGGTCGACTGTTTGGAACTTTTCGTTTGTTTTGAGGCCCCCTCGTAGATGGGCTCACCTCCAATTAGGTCAAAACCTTCTTCTGTGGCTGGAAACAAAATATTTTCAAATGCAAACAAGAGTGGTAACCCAGTTAATCATTAAAAGGTGTAGACTTTTTGGGAAATAATTTGAAATAAAAAAAATTATTTTTCTCGAAAGAAAGTACATAAACGCTTTTAAAATAATCAATTAATATTATGATCACATTCTAAATTGACAAAGTCTTAAAATAATGTTATATTTGTACAATTAACTATTATTTTGAAAAAAGTCGTTTGCTAAAAATGCTTGACATATATATATAGGCCTATCATATCATAAAGAAAAATGAATGAATAGTAGAGCATGTTAACTGGCCGTACATACTAACACTGACAGTTAATATTGGTTGTTTAGGATCATAAATATTTTAGGAAAACCGCCCCAAAACCCCACACGAAATATTTCCCAATGTTTTGACGTTATACAAAAAATGTAGAAGGGAATGTAGGTTGCTTCTTTACAGGTATTCCCTTGGCTAAATACGACAATACTAGCAATGGTCGTCTTTACAGAAGTGGGGCCAAAGTAATGCACTGAGGCTCTGATCCCTATAGGGCCACGCGAAGGAGAGGGCCAATCACCCCTGTTGCCAATATCAGGAGACGCCAAATCGTCTTTAGAGTGACCCTTAATAATGATATAAAAGATAAAATCCCATGTAGGCCTACTTCACATAGACGGAGACGCCAAAATCGTCTTACTAGTCCGCCCTGGACCCCGCTTTTCCTCGACATGGCTCTGTCTATAGCCTACTACTCAAGTAGGCCTATATTAAGAAAAACATATGGCATATGGCCCATGTTGGCTCAGTTTCTTTCAGGTAATTTGATCCACGGTAGAGCGTGGGTAGCATGTCAGAGTTCGAGGGATGGCGGGAGTGCAGGGCATCTAGCAGACCGAAATTATGCAATGTGACGCCTTCCCCATACATAACCTTAACTTCATTCTGGTAGTAGAGCCCGCTGAGTGTATGCTTTAAGCCCCAGCTTGGTTTCGCTTCTTGACAAATATATAGTCCAACAACGTATACCAAACTAAAGGAAAATCATAATTTTGCTCGTCCAAAACAATCATTGTATTTACTTACATCCATGGGCGCCCGCTGGATTGATTGGAATAATTTTTTTAGACAAAAATAGACAAAAAATTTATTAAAGTAAAGAGAAAATAAAGAGAAAGTAACTAAGCTGATGTCCTGTCCGTTCGTTCACCATACAAATACGCTGCAGTAAATTAAAACTACATTAAAACATTACTAAAAAATGTTTGCCCCCCCCCCCCCTAGAAAGTTAGTCAATTTTTTTGTGCCCCCCCCCTAGTAAGTTGTCTTCGGGCGCCCATGCTTACATCCAACGCTTTTTTATTCGTTCACCATACAAATACGCTGCAGTAAATTAAAACCACATTAAAACCTTACTAAAAAATGTTTGCCCCCCCCCCCCCTAGAAAGTTAGTCAATTTTTTTGTGCCCCCCCCCTAGTAAGTTGTCTTCGGGCGCCCATGCTTACATCCAACGCTTTTTTATATTAAAATGTTTCGGTTCTTTCAATTTAAAGTAGAGGGGCAATAAGGGATTGAGGGCGCCGAACGAAACTGGGGTTAAGGTTTGGAGAGCGGTCTTAGTAAGCCCCTCCCCAGGAAAATATTTGAAAAATTCGAACTGATGGGATACCTTTTGGCGTATAAATGAATTTAGTTTTGCATTTTTCTAAACTTAACCTACAAGCAAAAGAAAATATGCTAATGGATATTTAGGTTCCCTTGATCATTCATGGGTTACAGAATTTCATTTAAATGTAATCGTATCCAAACAGTAATGTTGTTTCATAATTTTATTTTAGAACTATTTTTTAGTTAAATACCTTCATAAAAGACCGAATTTTTCATTTTTTTAAAAAATGTTTCCATTTAAAACAGTTAGGAAAAAAAAATTATTAGTAGGCCTCCCTTTAGCATTTATTTGAAACTTAATTATGTTTTTCCAAAATTTATAGTTACAAAACGAGAAAAAATACTATGTTGTAGAAAAGGTCTACAGATTATGTATGTTTTTTTTTAAAAAAACAGGTCATTTAAAAAAAAAATATTAGAAAATATTCGCAATTTGACAATTTATCAAAATAAATTTTGTCTAAAACTAATACCAAAAAAAAAAATAAATAATAATAATAAATTGAATTAATGTGAACATCGAAATACTTGTTTTAAAAAATGGAGAAAAATGGAGAAACGGTATACCAGCTGTTTTTGAAAACAAATTTTACAAAAAATATTTCAATATCCATTAACAATATTGGCGGCATTATGTCGCTTGAAGAGTGAGGCCCTTAGAGCCATGAGCGCCCCCCTACCCCCCCTCCCCCGAAGCATGATGCCAGGGTTCATGGCTTAAGACGGCACTGCCTACTAGATAACAGAGTTACAGGACTTAAAATTAAGCAGCTGAGAAGCGTGTTTGGGCCAGGGTTATACTGTTAGTTTAGCCAAAATGTCAACTCTATCAGAAAACAAATGTAAACAATCCATGCCAAAATGTATACGCTTCGCCAGCAATCAACTAGTAACTTACTGTGAGATCCCTTGTAATAAACCTGCACCTGTTCATTTGGCTGACACATGCTGACCATCAGGAACATGGGGTTGGATTTACTTTTGGGGATCCCTGTCAAAATGTTACCGAAATACTCGGCGTCCCTGCCATACGCTGTGACGTCAGCTCCAAAACCAATGGTCCCAGACTCCATGTCGATATACATGTAGTATCTGTTGAATGATAACATGGCACAGTTAATAGACCTATCGAATTACATTTATTATGCGTTATGTCATTAAATGTCACAGTTAACAGACCTATCAACTTAACAATTATTATGTTATGTCATCAAATGTCACAGTTAAGCATAACGAGGGTTTGGAGTTATTCAAAGGTAAGGGGTTATGTGTATAGCATTCGTGCACCCCCCTCCCCTCCCACTCCAAACACTTTTGGCTCAGGTCAGCTGGGTAAAAATGTTAATTACCGTAAATCATTATGGCTTGGGCCCAGGGCAGTCTCTACCGTTAGGTGAGACAGTGCGGCTGCTTTGGAAGGTAAAATTTTAGTTGGGGGGGGGGGGTGCAAAAGAGCGGAGTTGTTTTTTTATGTTTTTTTTTTTCAATTTGAAATCAAACAGCGAAAAAAAAAGTTCTAATTAGGATGGTAAAAAATGAAATAGAGGGAAAATTACAATTTTAAATTTATTGTTTAATGCTGAATACAAGTTATTTTATATCTATTGCATGAATTCTTATAGCCTGAGTGACAGAGGTTGAGGGCATGGCTAAAAAAAGGGGGGTTGGCGGCATTTTTCAGTTTTCGCCTTGGGTGGAAGACATGGTCAAACAACAAGGAACGGCCCTGCTTGTGCAGATAACTGTGTTACTGTCGTAAAAGGGGGGGGGGGACAATCACACCATTCAAATTTATACAATTTATTCAATTTATAAAATGTCAACTATTACCATTAAAAAAAAAGGGTTGAAGTAATTATCTTAATTAAAATAATAATTATCTGACGACATATATAATGCCATAGGAAGATGTTGTTGTTTCCCACCCCACCACGGGCCGTTCTTTAAATACATTTATTCTGGATAGAGACTTGTATTAAACTATTGTGCGCTCTTCTTTTTGTTTATGTTTGACAGACATAATTGAAGCCAAATAATGTTTTTTTTGTATGTGTTTTTTTTAAATATTATCTGTCAGAAGCCACTATAATTTAAATTGATTAAAAATAATGAAACATTTTAATTTTATGATTGGTCTGAACGCACATGTTTGTGAATGACATTTATTTAGTGCTGAACCCTGTTTTAAATTAGTAGCTCAAACATTTTGTCTAAAAAAAAAAAAATGTTTATTGTATCGTAAAGCTCAATACGTTGTTGAGACCTCAGTTCCCCCCCCCCCCCCCCCAAGTGGACCAGCATCTGGACTGAACGCCATTTTTTTAAAAAAAAAAAAAGTTTTTTGTATCCGAAAGCTCAATACGTTGTTGAGACCTCAGTTCCCCCCCCCCCCGCTCCAAGTGGACCAGCATCTGGACTGAACGCCGTTTCAGAACTCACCTATCGGGTATGGGTAGGTACATCCTCTGCTGGACTTTGCCAAAGTGAATGGCGCGTTGCTTGGCCATGTCCAAACCCCAGGACTGGCTGTGGTCGCCCACCAGGCTGACGCGCCCCTGCTTTTTGAGGGGGACGTCTGATGAGCCGACGCCGACACATGAGCAGAAGCCCCTGTTGTTTTTCAGTGGCCAGTTGATCTGTGTGACGTGTGCAAAAAAAAAAAACGGAGTGAGTCATGAAGTCTTTCCTTGTCATAAGTCAAAATGAGTCCAACTAAGCAATCTCCAAGTCATAGCTATGCATTATAAGTCATTAAAGATGATTTCACTTTTTTCGTCAAGTCATGGCTATGTACGTCATAAAAGGTTAGTTCGCTTTTGTCTCCAGCATGCAGCCCAATGATTTATTTTTTTGGCTGCTTCTTAAATCCATGAAACCTCAAGGGAAAAAGACGCTTTTCCACCGCCAAGGCCTGATGCCCCGAACGCCTGATGCCCCGAAGGCCTGATGCCCCGATGGCCTGGTGCCCCGAATGCCTGATGCCCCGAATGCCTGATGCCCCGAAGGCCTGATGCCCCGATGCCCTGATGCCCCGAAGGCTCGTGGGGACGAATCAGGGCGGCGAGTCATCATACATTCAGACATAAGTACGTGTCCCTCGTGCACACTATCGATCCGACGTTAACATAAAACACATCTCTAAGTCAACATCCGATTTCGTTTAGACTTATGAAGTAGGCCTACAGGACATAAAACACTTCTCTAAGTCAACATCCACTTTCGTTTAGACTTATGAAGTAGGCCTACAGGACATAAAACACTTCTCTAAGTCAACATCCACATTCGTTTAAAATTATGAAGTACAGGACCTGGATCGCCAGGTTTTGAACAAGTATGTATCCAATAAAAGCTCAACAAGTATGTAATAAAGATAATACATCACAATTTACATCACAATTTACATCACAATTTACATCACAATTTACACCTGGGGCATGAACTAGACGTCCCGTGGTTTGCTGTGCTGCCTTCTTCTGCCCCAGTAAAGATGTAAATAAGTCTTAAATGATAAAAAGAGAGAAAGCTTCTGATTGGCTTGATGGGTTAACCAAATGGAAAACAGTTTAACTGGTATTCACTACTGAATATTAAAACAGGGGCCAAGCGCTGCATCAATTTCATTAAAAGCCAGTGGTGCCCAAGGGTGATTTGAATTTGCCGCCCTTCCCCCATCACCACCGAAAACCTACACATCATTTTATAGATATTCCGTAGTTCATTTTTGCACAGTGAATTGGAGAAACAATGAGCTTTGAAGAGCGCCGTTCCTGGCACATTCACTAAATCGCGCCGGGACAGAAAAAGAGGTGCGGGGAGAGAGGGAGGGAGAGAGAGAGGGAGAGAGAGGGAGAGAGAGAGAAAAGGAAATAAAATGCCCCTTCTAAAGCAAATTGAAATCACGTTGGGCGTCTCTTGCACCGAAAAGCCCCCCTCCCCGTTATAAAGGAAAAAAAAGGTCACCGGGGCGGATCGCCCTCCCCCCTCCCCGCCCCCAACCCCCTTTCCTACACCATTGATATTGGTTAGACGTCATGTAGCCAAAAGAAGTGGGTTGAAACGATCGACCGGCTTGTGTTTTCCAGGTATTTCAGTTCCTGGTGAAGATAACGGTTTTTTTAAATAAAATAAATAAATATCTATATTTTTAAAAGAAAAATACAAGGCACTTTACTAAGTTGACTGGATCAGATTTAGTTTCAAACAGATTGTCTTTCGATTAAACTGACACCACGAGGCAGCGCTACGAGAACAACTTTATTTCTATCTGATTTTAGATCTTATGGATTGCAGTTGAATTTTTTTTTTCAAAATGACACTTAGATGGATTGTTAAATCCTTTACTTTAGAAACCCAACCACGACAAAAAAAAACAACAACAAAAAACAACAAAAAAAAAACAGGTGGAATCAAGTAAAATAAAAGCAAAGCCCCTTGATGACTTTATAAGGTCACTTGATGACTTTTTGAGGCCCCCTGATGACTTTTTGAGGCCCCTTGATGACTTTTTGAGGTCCCTTGATGACTTTTCGAGGTCCCTTGATGACTCTTTGAGACCCCTGTTACTTTTCGGAGTTAATATTCCACAATTGTTTTCCCCACAGCACAACTTTTGGCCCCTTAACTATCCCCCCCCTCCCCTTTGCAGCCGCCGGGTTTGCAGCCTCGCAGGATCCACGAGACGGCTCTGATAAATTGTGGGGGGTGGGGGGTGTTGAAAATATAAAGTTGCTAAGCTACTTCACAAGGAAGATAATCAAACAAGCAGAGGCAACCATCAAGGTTAGTTCAACGTTTTATTGTAGGAGAACAACATGGAGTCCTACCAACATGGAGCACTCGACAAGACAGCATAAAAAACATGACGTCACTACACAATAAATAATGTGGTGTGCAAAACAATGCGCAATTAGCATTCAGCATTTTGTCCATTTCCAACACAATGTTCCCTCTAAGATTTGTTGGTTCGTGTGCAAAATCATAAATTTGTGTGCACATTTTTACAGAACCAATTTTTTTGTGCGCAAATTTTACAGCCTACAGACACAAACACATCCTTAAGTGAAATTTAGCTTCGCTGTACTCAAAACTGCTGCGCGGCGTCTGTGAGATTGCTGCGCGCCAGCGCAGACGCGCAGCTTACATGGAACATTGCATACGACCCACGTTGAGAACCGCTGCTCTACACGAACACATTAAATGCAATTAGAACGAATGCGTTTAAAAATGACACTGGTCTTACATTTGAAATGCCTCACTGAGAACAAAAGACGCACACCAAGTGCTCCGGAAGCAGCCACCACAGTATTGAAACAATATATTTCCTGTTTAAAGACGTTGGCAATCTGACTAGAGGTGTCAGTTCCCACTGTCAAGACATTTCCTGTTGTTTAGCCAAGTTGGTATTTGAGACACACAGCATGTGATAAAACATGGGATCGATGCTCGATAAAACTAGTTTGTTTGTTTGGACATTTTCTAAAAAAATCTTTTATTTTAACGTCGCTTTTGTTCGTGTGTTTCTTTCTTTCTGGGTGGATTGCAAAAATCTTCGGAAGGCTAATTTGACCCACTTCCCATCAACCTATCGAGCTGAAACTTGGATCATGTTGCCTGTGACAACATTCTATAAAATTTTAAAATTTTCAGCCCCACCCAAAATCCCAAAGATCTCCTCCCCCCCCCCTTTCCTGTTTTGCAAGGGGAAAATGAAGGAAATATGGTGCCACCGATTTCACGAAATAAAATTCCGATAACTGCGCTCAATGAGATTCGTAAAGATATGGCAAGTGCGTTTGGTGCATACTAGTTTCTTTTGTTTTTATGAAATATTTGATGAAATAAATTTGCTCTGGTCATTAGAATATTGATATTCAATAGTGAAAAAATGCATTATAAACGATTTATGAGAAAATCTTTGTTTTTAGGCGCTGTTTTTTGTTTAAATGCCGGCTTCTGGCGTACATTTGATCGAAATGACCTTATCAGAATTGCTTCATTGTATTAAATCTTCGAGAATAAACGGTTTATTTTTTTTTTAAAGCAAAGATGATGTTAGCAGAAAGTCGGTATTTTAAGAAAATACTATAATTTAAAGATACGATGAGATAGTAAAGATTTTAAAACTATAAGATGATTTTTAAATATAACATTGTTAAAGAAAAGACGGTATTTTAAAAAAAAATCATATGTTTAAAATAAAAATTTAAAAAAAAAAGAAAAAAAAAAGGAAGATATTTAGGAAAATCTGATTTTTAAAAAAAATTATAATTAAATTTAATGAAAGACGGTACTTCAATAAAAGACGAAGTTTAAGGAAATGGTGCCATACTGTCATAGAATGCCATAGACGAATAAAAGACCTGGAGGTGGCTAATCAAAGGATACGGAGAAAATGATGACTCAGATATATAAATAGATTTTTGCGACCAAAACACCAATGTGACCTTTTATGAGGCATTGTGACCCTGGTGGGGTGGGAGGTAATCATTGTGACCCATTGAGACCCTTTATGAGACATGGGTTCGGGGGTGGGGTGGGATGGTACCAGGGTGACCCTTTATGAGGCTGTTAACTCACCACCCTAACAAGCACATTTTTGTACTAGTGCAGTGAGAGCATAAAACAAAAATTGTCTTCTGGTGAGAAATACATATTGTGCCATTTGAAGAAAGTACAGTTCATTACGTGATACAAGTTTAGGTTGAACATTATGTTACAACTATCACATATGTCGTTTATGTTACAACTATCACATCTGTCGTTTATAACAAAGCCTCCACGCTACAATGACATACATTACGTCATCTATCAACAGTTGTGAATCCAGAAAATAGTCGGCCACCTTCGGCCAGTGGTCAGTGTGTAAGGAAAACAAATGGCCACCGCTCATAAGAGAGTTTGCTTTAAAATACTCACCACGACAATTTTTTATTAATTTTTTTTAAATTGAACTGGTTTAGCGCATTCTTCAGCTCACAAATTCTCAAAGACACCCTTACGAAAAAAAAAAATGTATTTTTAGAAAAATCAATAGTCGTCAATATCAAAGGTTAAAAGGTTTCACTTCCTATTAGAGCGACTTTACAAATTCTTTTGAAGAGCTCGGTCTACTAGAAGGAGTTAACTCGATTAGAACCATGTCAAGGCACATCTTGTGTGACGTTCGATGGTGAGAACGAGAGAGTGATGGCAGGTTGTTCACAGAATAAAATGACCACAAGATGGTGTACTGTGTAACCACAAGACGGTGTACCGTGTAACCACAAGACGGTGTACCGTGCAACCACAAGACGGTGTACCGTGTAACCACAAGATGGTGTACCGTGTAACCACAAGAAGGTGTCCATCAACGGCGACTAAGGACAATAACGGTATCGATTGTTGGCACCAAACAAATGCATTGCTGGGACGCCTCGGCTCAATAAATAAGTGAACAGCCGCATGTAAACTGGGCGAAAACTCATGTCGCGAGACTGCGGTCGAGGGCTTGGGGGGGGGGGGGGGGGGGGGGGGGGGGGGGGTAGATTACAACTTGTCAAATTTTTTTTCAATGGATTTCATCCTCGCCTTTACGTCCGGACACAGGGTGTGTGTGTGTGTGTCGGCCAATGGTAGGTGGTTATTGTTTGCTACTGGCGA